CCACAGCAGTTACAGCCTTTGGTTTGTGTGAGAAACCAAGTCATTTGCTAACTGGCTAAGCAGCACTATGGTCTTCCACACTCTCATGGCACCTAGTGACCAGGAACTCTGCCAGTGAACTCGACTGTCTGGTACACCAGTGTGTGAATCCTGCCTCCACAAGAGCTGCAAAATGATAAGCTTCCCTTGCCAGATAGCTGCTGCAGAAAGTGACAGTGACAGCTGGATTACAGATGAAGGGAAGACACAACATCACCTGACTTCCAGTCTGTTCAGCAACATAATCAGAGAGTTGAAGCAGACCTGATCAACAGCTGTAGAACCAGAAATGACATAGCTAATACACTCTCAGTAATCAACATTTAGGTCACAAAATAATAAAGCAAAGTGATTAAACCATTTTAAATATGCACTGCATAAGGGCAGTATTATATATACTGAAAGTTGGGGGGAGATCCTCCACCACAAAAAATTGCTTCTTTATTTTAAAATCTTCCACAAAGGAACCTTTCATATTTTTAGTATGCATCCAAAAAAATTTTGAATGCAGTACCACCCTTGTTATAAATACAGAACCTGACAAAAAGATCTGAAGAGTGTAGAAAAAAGGAAAAAAGTATTTTGCCTAGTAGCATTGTAGAAGTCTGCTTTGATAACCTTAAAATGAAAAAGGAGAAAAATTTACTTCTTGATGGTGCTACATATTTGAAGCATCCTTATTTTAACAGTGCATTCTCCAAATCTACCAAATTAATTAAACTACAAGATATGGAACTACAGCCTTATGTTAAAACAATTTGAAAATTGATCCTCAGCACTTACTAATGGCAATACCCACTGTTAATCCTACTTTGCATTCAACTACCACAATAAATAGCTATTTCACCATTATTATTATAATTCAGATTTTTTAGGATCTACTCTTGCTGTTAGAAGTCCTTATTAGTATTGCTTTTCTGTTTCTTTAAACACAGCTTGTGCTTAAAGCAAACCATAGCAACTGCAAAGAAGTTACCTGCACCCCCTAAGCTCAGCGTGAATTGCTCAAGCATTGCTAATTTTGAAGTGGGAGGAGTTGAAGAAATGAGGTCTTTTTTATATAAAAAGCTTAAATGACTCATGAAAACTCTTCTGGCATAGCTCATACATGCTTGACAACAACAACAACACATATAGCACTGTCCATCACTCAAGCTCTGTACAAACCAGCCCAAGAACATTGGGCATAACAGGCTGTTTCTGAGACCAGTGAACTGGCTGCTCCCAAGTTTCCTAATTTGCTCTAGGAAGTACCTTACATTTGACATTCAATTAATCAGTGTTTAAAAAGAATAAGGTACCTGGCATAACAGTCCAGGAGACTTCCAGGTAGCCAAAATGTCTGCAAGCAAACAGATCAACAGAGTCATATCCACTTAAGAGTTTCTGACCTTGGCCAAATTTCCAGGCTAGTACCAGCAATGGTACATTGTCAGTGGTGAAAAACCTGAAGATTTTCTTTAGCACTGGAAGGGAAGAGCTGCACACTAATCAGTGGTGGAACAGAAGTGAACAGACTGCTGAAAAGGGCTACTAAAAAAGAAGCAAGATCAACAGACATTTCTCAATCTGAATGTCTGGTCCACCTAGTAACTGCCTTTGGCAATCACGTTCATAGGTTAATCAGATTACACTTGCTTTTCACTCTCCAGCCCTCTTTTTAAGATGTTCCAGAATTTAGCTCCACTAGTGATCTGATATTTATTTTCACACTGCTTTTAGCTAGAACCAGCTTCTACACACTACTGTTGCCACCCACAGATTTTTCTTTCTGTCAATCCTGTTTCCAGCTCTCAAATCCCTGCATCTTTCTCTGTCACCTAAACATCCTTGGTCATCTGGCCAGCACAGCCAGAGATTTATACTGCTTTGAGTGCCATTGCCCTGGTCCCTTAATTTAATGTGAAGAAATTATTCTAATAGAGAAGCTCAGGCTGGATCACATCCAAAGACTGTAACAATATTGCTCTTCTTTAAGCTCAGATGTTGCAGAAGAAAGTTCAACAGAAATAAGATCATATGGAAACAATGTGCCAAATAGTGGCACATCCAAAAAAAGCATAAAGTATTACAGACTGCATAAACAGCATGATACGTGTCCTGAGAGATGCCAAAGCACCTGGCTCCACTGCTTTTCCCTGCCATCACTGCAAATTAAAATCAAACAGAGTAAATGCAGCAACTCTCAAAGTGCTGCTGGCCTTCCATACTGAAGACAAAGCATCCACAAAGGAAGAGCATCAATCCATCAGACGACACCCAAGTGGCTTTCCTTAATTAGAGATTAGCTAACATTAGAATTGGCAAGTGAACAGAAGGCTCCATACACTGCTACTGCTTCCACCTACAGCCTTTATCTCAGCTCCCCCGCACCCTACACCGACTACCTGCCCCCAGTACTCTCTTTGTCTTCTTCTCCCACTCAATTTTCTGCCTGAAAAAACTCTCCTCCTTTTATGCGCCAGGTAGAACTCCCTCCCTTTCTTTCAATACTTCCTTACACAAATTCCCTCCAGCTTCTTTGTTCCACTCAGCTCTGTTGGGGGGCCTCCACTGCTATTATCCACACTGCATCACAGGGGCACTGCTCAAGTCATCACACACTTTGTCATTCCAGAAGACAAGTGTGGGCTTGAAGACCTTCTGTAAAGCACACCTGATGGGGCAACCTGGCATCTCAGACCTTAGGTGAATAGCTGCTCCCTCTTGGCTGTTCATCCAGCAGTGATAACTAACTCTTTGATCCAAAACAAAAGCCTGATGGTCATATGAAGGGCAGAAATTAATTCAGAAATAATGTGCTCTGGTTTGGAATTGTCTGTCACATAGATCAAGACCACAGAAAGAGCCATTCTTTCACATCAAAGGCAGCAGCATTCTGGGTAATCAAAGAGCAACCTTGACAGGGTCAGAGTTCAGTATGAAACAGATCTCAAGACAGGGCTAGCAATTAGCATTTACTCTGTAACTTATATAGCATTCTAGAAGCACACCTGGGGCAGCCAGGACCTGCCCTTTTACAGGGCATCATTTGAAATGCATCATTTCACCCTGGGTCTTCCAGCCTGTATAAACCACTTAAGCAGCTACAGAAGAATCTCTCTCTGTTCACCTCAACATCCTATTAAAAAAAAAATAAAAATTTTGAAACATTCTACAGTATACAGTTTACTCCCAGGAGAGGATCACCTAAAATACACAAAAATCTATTGTAAGCATGGACCACTTCAGCTACATCAGGTGCACCAATGTTTCATCCCAGGAGAGGATCACCTAAAATACACAAAAATCTATTGTAAGCATGGACCTCTTCAGCTACATCAGGTGTACCAATGTTCCTTCACAGAAACCTGACCAACCCAAGTGTTTTTATATTACTGCTTTGCTTTCAAAGCATGTGCAGTACTTCATATTTCTAAGGCATTTTATGTTTCCAAAGGTTTATATACACACCAGCTAATTAGAGACAGCTAACAAGAATATCCCAAGATGCTGAATCTCAGTGTGTAGTGAGTATGTTAATTTTTTCTCCATCCCTAAAACAGGGAAAGTTAAGGACCTAAAGATGCCTACAAGTGTGCTCCCTGAACTATGGAACAATATTTTCAAGGAAAAGGTGCTGTATTTCAAACTTCCATTCTGCCAGTGTGTAGAAAAGCAGAAAATTCCACCCTGGCCAAACAGAAATGGCTCTGATTCACTGTAACTGCTGAGAAGATATCACACACAGTGTCAGATGCAATTTCCATTCACAACAGACATCCACATTGTACACACTCCTCTCCTGAACTGGCACTACACTACAGCCATGCCTCTAGGGGCTCTGTTCTGAGGAAAACAACAGAAAAGGAACTGCTAATCCCTTAATTAGTGGCACCCACTTCACCTTCTGCAGGAATAATTTAGAAAGTCTGAATGGGCCACACGTCACACAAGGTGAAAATTCAGTAACTAGAAATGACTCAGGTTGTTGGTTCACTTCTCAGTACCCACATCTCAGCTGGGCAAGGCTACTGAAGGGAAGTACTCAGTGTCAACTGAGAACAGCTTCACAAACCACTGATCAAATCTGCCCCTTTCAAATTTCTGATGGGACTTGCATTACACCAGGCAAATCACTGATCCTAGGTCCCAAGCACAGCTCCAGAAATACACAATTAGGGCCATGTTCCCTTTAATTTTCATAAAGCTCTTGTTTAAGCCACACCAACAAGGGGATTAACTGTACGTTCCTGGCTGAGCTACTTCACTGGCTAGATAAGAACAGAAGCACAAACCATACCCACCAAAGACGCTGATAGGTCTCGTCATCCATTCTGCTACTCCCCTGCCCAGACCTCCCACACAATGACTGCAGCACATCAGAGTCCTACAAAGCTGTCCACTAGATTATGGCAGACTCCACAATACTTATTTATCTATCTCAGGATGCAAGTGGCATGAACCAGGCCATCTACCATCGACTCAAAGGTCAGAGTTAAAAGCCTCTCTCCCCTCACACTGACATTTCAAGGCTGCTCCCTTTAGGAGCTGCATACCCTATTCTATGTGTGAGCATCTCTTGCAGTAAAAGGAAAAGCAAGGTCCATTTCCCTTTACCCAAGAGCCTACCTCCTTTCTACTCACAACTATCAGAGAGAGAAATACTACTCCATAAAACATTACTCCATTTTCTCCAATCAGGTAAAGAGAGACTCAGGTAATGGAACAGAAAAACAAAGACATTTGGATACCATAGTGAGCATGGAAGACAAGGAAGTAAATTAGCTACCATTATGATAATGAACTGGCTTTCCAAAGGAGGCAATTTGTATGTAACAACTAAGAAGCAACATAAAGATGCTTTAACAGAACTGCTGCTTGCTTTTCATCCCTGCAGCAATGGAACAAGCAGTCACGGCCACAAAAGAACCATCACTGTGGGTTTTTCCTCTTTGACTGTCTCTGCAGAGGCCAAGTACCTGACCAGAGCTCCCTCCAAGTGTAATGAAGCCTCACTCTGCATTTCTTCTGGTAGCACAGCAGCTTGTGCACAATCTGAATGCACCGTCTGGAAAAGAGAGGGCAAAGGATTAATGACATTGCGTCTTCCCACAATTCTACAGCAAGCCTGGAAATATCGCTGAAATCAGCAGCAGGGAAATAGACAAATTCAAAGACAATCAGAGGAGGAGTTGTGACTTTTGCCTCCTAAGGGGAATCAACACTCACAAAAAAAAGAATATGACCAAATAAAAAAAGGGGCCTGCATGCCAGTTTATACTCAACAGGATAGGACTGACCACAAATGCACGTTTGCTGTTCAATAAATACTTTTCACTCTTTGCTACCCTAAGGGCCTCATAAACTCTACAAAATTAGTTACTTAACTTGCAGTGAGATTCTGCAAGCTACTGTAAAATTTGGACACAATGGAGCTTCTCCATTTCTCTGGCCCCGGTGATGAGGCTGAAGGAAATGAGGGTGTCAGAAAAACTACAGGATTTTTAGTTTGATTAAGGTGTATGGTTTAATTACATTAAAAAATCAAATTCTCCAGTCTCCTTAAGTATGAGCTTTGGAATGTTCATGGAATACACATACAAGCTCTGGAATCCCCCAACATACAAGCAGTGCATTTGTCAAGTCTCCAAATCCTGCAGGTCTCTGTAGCATCTAATGTTCATCCATACTCTTAGGTGCACAAACATTCTTCACATATAACATCCAGACTAAAAATACAGCACAGTGAGTAAATTCTCTAACTGTTCATTACGGACATTACAGACAAGACAAAAAATATATACAAATTTGAATTTGTCAGGCCAAGCCATTTTATCTATTGACATGTAGAAAAAACAGAAGAAAGACACAAAAAGAAAAAATCCCTTTCCCCCCAAATCCCTATTTCTCAAAAACACACTATCTCATTAAAACCCACATCTTTCTGAAAAGACATTGATGACAGACATGCACATCAGATAAACATGGAGAAATTAAATTCTAAAAATTTGCATGGAATTTATTCAAAATGAGGTGAAAAGTTCAAGACAAGGCTTTTAAACAAGGCGGTAGCAAAAAAATATGCAGAAGGTATGCATTATTCTTTTCAGACCCATAGATAATCCCAAAAATACCACAATAAGGCAGGAACTGAAACTAACTTTGAATAAAGGTAAAACTATTTATAATCACTGAGCATGACATTAAGTGCTGCATTTCAAATTGGATTCTCATAAATTCAACCAAGAAAAGGAAGCAAACCAGCTAGGATAGACAGCTGTCCTCAGATCAGGAACAGCAATCCCTGTGGGAAGAAACCTCCTACTTCTGATGTTACTGGTACTGAACAATGCCCAGCACCTTTTTACCTCTATATCTGCTTGGCTGTAAGTCAAGTTATGAAGTTATCCATGCTGGTGGGGTGTCTCTGGTTTTTAAAAGTTTTGTGCTGAGGATTCATAATACAAATAATGGACAAAAAGTACTCTTAGTCTAAGGAACCTGGATTTCTCTTTTAAATATTAACATGCCCAGCCTTGTGCAGCTTCATATTGTCACCTCTTAAATGTACTGCAGAGAAGTACAACACTACTTGTGCATTCAAAACACCCACTTTGTCTGCAATAACTGTGTCTGCTATGGGATGGTTTCAGACAGGAGCAGAGTGAAAGGACTGCACAAGCATGCCAAAATAAATGGATACAAATGTCCACTGATGGTTGCTACTGCTCATTATTTCTAGTGTTATGGGGTTTCTAGACGTGATGTTGCTTTTGAGTCCAAGCATTTCACACCCTTCTTGTGAAACTCCAGAGCACTGCACCTATCTACAATTAGTTCTGCAATTGTAATTTAAAAAAAAAAAAATTCTCATAAACTCAGTTGAGCTGTACAACCCTTGAAAAGGCACCCTAATTGCAAGGTTATTTGGGCAAAATCAGAATATGCTGAAAAGTTACCTTAAGGGAAAACATCCTATGTGTGTTTATCTTTGCTCCAGAACACAGTGCTGTTCACATCTTGGGGAAATTCAGCACTGTACAAACAGTCAGAGCAAAGCCAATAAACTGTCTAAATCCTACTCCTGCCCTCCAGGCTAAAGCAGTACAAAGCATTGGACAGGCCCCTGTGGGACACATGGAGTGCTCATGAGTAGCTCTGTCCTCTTGTCTCCTTTTGCCCATTGCTAAGTTTTACCCCTTGCTGCCTAGCAGCATTTCAGGCTTACACCTCCCTCCCTCTCCACACTGCCTTCCAGGCCTCGTGTCAGTCATCCTTGCTTTTTCAAAAGTGTCTTTTCTGTTTCTAGACCAAGATTCATCTTCTGGGAAGTGGGGATTGCTGCAATGACTCTGCGTTACGAAACTTCTTTTAGACTGAAAAGCTCTTTGTGTCAGATCAAGTAGATTAGGGAAACAGTCTGAAATTGAATTGCTTTCAATTTTCTGGCACACAGAGGATTTTTGAAGTAGAAAAAGTTACTGGAAGAGTTCATGAAAAGCCATCCCACTCCCCACCAGCCACAAAGTGTTATTTCAGCCAGAAGATTGCTCTATGAGCAGGATTCTACCTAAATTCAAACTTCAAATGAAATCACAGTGAGTTACCCCACAGACACTTACACATAGAGATCCATAGGAAATTCTTTCATCATGTGTGTTACAATGAATTCCACCATCAAATCTGACAGAAAAGAAAATTATAAGGTAAGTATTGAGCTGGCTACTGTTAGCTTTTAGTAGACTACAAGGAAGTCAAACTGCCCCACCTACCTATCTCTACCAGACAATAGTCCTGCTTAGATGAAAGGGACTTCACTTTTTTGTTTGTTTGTTCTAAAGAACATTAGACATTTGCTAGAACTAGAAAAGAACCCACTGGAAACTGAGGGTACATACTGTAATTTGCTTTGAGGCACTGCTTCCCCATATGGTTTCCCCCACTATTAGTCAAATAAAGACTATACCATGAATTCTGATGTTTAAAATTGCTCTCATATTTCAAGCCCTGTCAGTAAGGAAAAATTCCATTAAGAAGCACATTTTAGAAAATTATTCAGAAACAATGCACAACCTAGATGCTACTTAAACAGACATTGTAAATAACACCTATTTTTCCTAAAACAAATTAGGAAGCAAGTAAAGCTAGTTTGATCTCAACACAGGCTAAGCTTTTGCTAAAGACTAATTAGGGGAAAAAAGAAAAAAGCAGAATGTGTCTAACATTTAAGGGCTTCCAGCATGAAGATAAGAGGCAAAGAGTATAGAAATACAATTGAAAGAAGCTAATCAATGATAACTGAACATGTGTGGGGGTGCATTCAACCCAACTTCAGCATGAAATGCTTATACCAAGCCCCTGGTAACAATGGTGAGCTGTCACCTCCTAGGGCAGTAACAGCCCAGCAGTGTGATTCAACAGTGACTAGAAACAGTGCAGGTGAAGAATGTACGAGATCTGTTATCTCTAGAAAGATTCTTCATGCAGCTGTTGTGTCTTGGCTTCAACAATCACATTGGAAAATGTTGAAGCCTAAGACAGCTTCTGTACCATCAGGCTGAACAGCCATTCAGGGATCCAGGCTCTATCCCTTTCTGAACCCACATGTGCTTTTGGCCTCCACAGTAACGAGAGTCACAACTTAATCATGTGCTGCATGAAAAGCTTTCAACTACGCCTCCATATCCACAGGCAAAACCAATCCTAGCTACTAACATTCCTGTTGTTTTTTGGCTCAGAAAAGGCTCAATGCCCAGCAAACATGTTCACAAATATGTTTTTTTGAAGCAGAGGTCTGCCATCATCATATCATCTACAAAGTACTTGTCGCTGCTACCACACTCACCTAAAACACTGAATTTATTAATCAACTGCCCTCCCTCCTGTTAAAAACTCACCTCAAATGGGCCACACTGTGTATGTAAAACTTTCTGTAAAAGCATATAGGATTTGTCTATCCACTGCTCCATTTAATCCTCAAATCTCATATTTCTATTGCCCAACAAGAGATGCTGCAGGAGCCACAAGCACACAGGTGCTCTGACCACACTCACCGTCAACACAGGCTAAGCTTTTGCTAAAGACTAATTAGGGGAAAAAAGAAAAAAGCAGAATGTGTCTAACATTTAAGGGCTTCCAGCATGAAGATAAGAGGCAAAGAGTATAGAAATACAATTGAAAGAAGCTAATCAATGATAACTGAACATGTGTGGGGGTGCATTCAACCCAACTTCAGCATGAAATGCTTATACCAAGCCCCTGGTAACAATGGTGAGCTGTCACCTCCTAGGGCAGTAACAGCCCAGCAGTGTGATTCAACAGTGACTAGAAACAGTGCAGGTGAAGAATGTACGAGATCTGTTATCTCTAGAAAGATTCTTCATGCAGCTGTTGTGTCTTGGCTTCAACAATCACATTGGAAAATGTTGAAGCCTAAGACAGCTTCTGTACCATCAGGCTGAACAGCCATTCAGGGATCCAGGCTCTATCCCTTTCTGAACCCACATGTGCTTTTGGCCTCCACAGTAACGAGAGTCACAACTTAATCATGTGCTGCATGAAAAGCTTTCAACTACGCCTCCATATCCACAGGCAAAACCAATCCTAGCTACTAACATTCCTGTTGTTTTTTGGCTCAGAAAAGGCTCAATGCCCAGCAAACATGTTCACAAATATGTTTTTTTGAAGCAGAGGTCTGCCATCATCATATCATCTACAAAGTACTTGTCGCTGCTACCACACTCACCTAAAACACTGAATTTATTAATCAACTGCCCTCCCTCCTGTTAAAAACTCACCTCAAATGGGCCACACTGTGTATGTAAAACTTTCTGTAAATGCATATAGGATTTATTGCTACAGAGCTGCAATCTCAGATTTGTCTGCGAGGTAGCCATGTACAAAGATGGGCATGGATTGCTGGAAACATCTTTAGTATGTAACTGTCCTTTTAAGTCTATCCACTGCTCCATTTAATCCTCAAATCTCATATTTCTATTGCCCAACAAGAGATGCTGCAGGAGCCACAAGCACACAGGTGCTCTGACCACACTCACCGAGCACCGCACACACCAGCGGGCGGCAGGGCAGGTTCTTGTCTGCTGCTTTCTTCCGATGCCTCATTGGCTTCAAACACACAAAGATGAAAAGAAGTCAGCAGAAACCTCAAGTGACAGTCTGTGCATTACTGTATTTTTCAAGCAAACAGTACAATCGCAGAGGCTTCCTTTTGTCTTTTTCTCCAACTGCCATCTTATACATACTAACCCTAAAGACCATGGCTGGAGCAAAATTGCGTCTGCTTTCCAGCATGCTGATACTGGGGGTTTGTTTCTCTAGCTGTGCAGCTGGAAGGCACTGTTCTACTGATGGGAGGGACCCCAAGACAACAACAAATCACACAGAAATTCCTCCCCCTTGGTTAACATACTGATGTGTTTCTGACCCAGGAGTCTGACTGGCATTCTCAAAAGTGTGTACAGTAGTTAACAGCTTTGGTGTTCACTGTAACAGAACAGAAAGGATAACTGGATAGCAGATCTGTTGTTAAGGGGTAATGACTAGCATTCTTGCAGTATGGTCTCCATAAAGTAAAATGTTTGTTTCTTTCTTGAACAGCGAGTGACTTTCAAGTGCTGCTTCACTGTCAGATGAGGTGAACTTTGTGGCAGTACCACAAAGATAGAATACATCAAGTTAGGATAACCATTCAAGTTACTTGTAAGTGCAGAACTTCATGAGCCAGGTAAGGACACTTCTACCACAGGAAAAAGCTCTGGAAAAAATACTTTCCTCCCTGAAGGTGAATTACTCCACCCAGAATAAGCCAAATAAGAGCACTCAGTGTAACTCCAGCTGGCTATTATGTATCACATGAGGGCTAATGCTTGCTGGAGATTAAGGCAGAACATTCTCCCCACCACTGATTTCCTCAGAGACCTTGTAATACACAGCTCCTCGCCAGCTAGACAGGCCTCTAAATTCACTGACAGGGCAAAGAGCTCTTTGTTCTTTGAAGAATGGAGACATTGTGAGAGCAATTTCAAAATCATTCTGCAACTACTGCATTTCTGACAGTAGTTCCACATGCCTTAGCAATGTAGGTTACATGTCTGTGACACAATTTTCAACATATATTTTTCATACATATTCAAATCCTCTGTGTTTGCATTCCAAAGAGAAAACAATCTGGAGGAAAAGACTCACCATTCTGTGTAGGTTTACACGAAAATTCATGTTGTCATCATGAAGAAAAGCATTAGCATATTGATCCTATTGAAAAGGGCAAGAAAAGGGAGGAGATATGAAAAGCCCAACACCCTACAGCTGCCTTTCAAATCACATTTCAGTGTAAAACTCCCAAGATACAACCACAAAGCTATAAAGCCACCTGTTCATTTCTTCTTTCCCACCCATGTTTCCAGTCACACAAAAGTAAACCCTTCCTGATCCCAATTCCACTTTAGAAAAATAAATTGCTAACAAAACAAGCAGTAGTTCATTCTAACTTTCTCCCCCTTAGCTCATTTAAACTCTGACTGTAGACACCATGGTGTCACAGGTTTAACAAGTGCTCCAGGTATATAATACAAGAGGTGGGTCTTCAGCACCAGTTCTGTGACTGTGTGGATAAAAGTTTCTTCTGGCATTTTGATTCCAGAAGCTACTGCAGTACTAGCAGATAGGTTTATGAGCTGTTCCACTCCTCAAACAAATCTCATTCCAAGTCCACCTCTAAATTAAAGAGACTTCTCCAGATAATGCACAGCCAGAACAGCTACTAAATACACCCTCTCTTTAATATCAGAAGCAAAGAATGCCCTTGTTATGCAGGAACAGAATTTCTTATCTTGTGTTATCTATGCAGCCACCTGAAGAACAAGTGCCAAAGCCATTTAATTAGAAAAATTTTAAATGTAGATTATTCATTTTCAGGCTGCACCCTGAAGAAACATTATTACAGAATCCTTACACTGGCTATCAACCTCACTGCTTTTTATTCTTTAAGGATGAAAGGTCTTTACTTGCAAGTAAAGACCTTCCAGGTCATCAATCAGCCATTAGAACATAGTCCCCATCAGACAGGGCCACATTCAGCCAGGGCTGCTGGCAGAACTCTGTGATGCTGCTTTCTCACCCTACTACCACATTTGCTACTTGTCTTGCTTGTAGGGACCTACAAACACTTGACTTACTTTCATACTTGTATCCTTCTTTGGCTTTCAGCACAGAGCTGAAAGGCATTAGCGCAGTACTCACCTAAAAGCCACACCACAGGGTCACTCAAAAGCTTAGAGAGAAAAGGCTTAGGTTCACTCTTTTTTCTCCTCATCCCCAGAAGCTGGCTAACTCAAATAAGATGATCCAATTTTCAAGTTTCAAGTCAACTTTAGCAGTATTGCATCAAGTATATTGGCAAACAGTAAATGCCTGAGGACCTCACCACTCAGTACCACTGTGGATATTCAGCTCCTGCCCCACAGGAGGCAGGGGCATAGAGCCCTGTAACACACCATCAGCTGAGCAGCTTCACATGAGAAACCTACCTCTGCTATGCATGTCAGGATAATGAGGCACAGCTTGCCACTGTGCAGCCGGTGCTCATCTGCAAAGGAGAGAAAACAAGTCCTCCATGAGCCACACATGCCTAGAAAGGCTGAAGAGCAAGAAAGCTGTTGCACCAAAAGAAAAGCCCAGCTTGGAGATTCTCCATAGTCCTAGCTCCTCCACGATAGCTAATAGTATTAAGCACTCATCCTCCAGCCTGGCCACTAAATCCCACCCACTTGTCACCAGTCTGCACCAACAGCAACGACTCAGGTTTGAACTTCCAACAGCATTGTAACAATCTGCTGGGATTCTGTCTCATTCAGTTTTACTTCCACAGATATTCTAAATACTGTCCTTCTGTCACAGCAGACACACTGTTCCCTCTCTTAGACAAGGTGGAAAGCAAAACATCACCTTTGCTGTAGGTTATGAAACAAGCAGCAAAGCTTTCACAGAGGCACAGCACTGTGTAGCAAAACAACTGCTGACATTATGCTCCAAGTTCCAAGTTTTAACCCCAATATTGAGAGACACGACCTACTTTGCTCTTTGCAAAACTATGAAAGAAGGGAGTCTGCAAAGACTTAGTATTTTAAGCCAAGAGTTTCACCCTGTTCATGTTCCACAACTTCTTATTCATCTCACAACTTCAAACAGCTTTTGCCTTGAATGACAGCTGGAGCAAAACAGAGAGACTAAGGCAGAAGAATACAATTTTTATTTGGATTATTTAAAACTCCTCTCAATTTTAACCTTGAATATAAAAAAAACCCCAAGACACATACAGCCATGGAGTAACACAGGACAGAAGAAACCTCTTGTTCAATCCTTGCTCAGAGCAGGGCCAGATAAGATCATGTTGTGGAAGGCACTGTCCAATCAAGCCCACTTTAAAATCTTCATTCTAAAAAACAATGTGCTTGGACCACACACCCCCAAAACCCACAAAAATAAACCAACAAAAAACAACACACTGATAACTAAACTCTGAGAAGGCTTCACATTGCACATTCCTGAGATTTCCAAAAGCTGCTCTAAAGCACAGGAGTGCTAAACACGCCACCCCAGACGATCTGCCTTAGAGTCAAACTCAAAGGAGAGGCTATCTGAAACAGTCAGACACACTTTCATATAAAGCACAAGACAGCATCAGCCAAATTCCTTCTTTGCAGGTGACTTTGACAAACACTTTGCTAGCTGGTGTGTATATGATAATTAGAAAAACAGATAGAATGGGCTTAGCTAGCTGTTCTGTCTAGTTTGACACCTGTTTTGTTTTCTTTTCTATGCTGCTCAGGGACAGATATTGACTAACAAGATGTGCCCTGAAGTGTGCTGGTTTCATCTTGCAGCACTAAGATGAAGAGGAATTTTGGAATGGGAGAGTTAAAAGCCTCTCCCATCTCCTTACCTCAGCTAAAACCTTTAAGTGTGAAGTTTTGTACTTCAGCAAGAAGGAGAAATGACCTAGAATAAAACTGATACACAAGAGTCTTGTTATTTTTATATTGTAAAGCCTCCCCGTACATTTCTGTAGGTGCTGCTACCACTTCTCTCTCCAGGGATCATGCTGTAAAGGCTGCTGTTTCACACCATGGACTCTGCCCTCTGCCAGTGTCTTTGTGAACATCAGACCAATTTTCAGGAGCTGTGGGGCAGCTATGCAAGCAGTTACTTGCACACACACTTCACACTTTCACAGAAACCTTCATTAAAGCAACAAAGCAGACCACTTTCTACAGGGAGGCATATCAGTATGAAACCTGTTTTGCAGATGGGAGAAAATGATACAGAGGTTTTGTTTCTCCCAAGGCAGCTGCCTCTAACTGACACAAGGGAGGATAACAAGAGAATGAAGTAGCAAACACAGTCTATTAAATTATGCTCTCTGGGATAGGACCAAAACAACTGTCTAGTCCTGGTTGTGGAACAAACCAGTTTCCCCTCTAAGTGTTCCCACCTGTCTCAAGACACGAGGAGTAAATTAGAATTATTAATTCTTCTTGTTACATTGGTGTCACAGAGAAGCATAGAATCATTCAGGCTAGAACAGTCCTCTAAGACCATGGAGTCCAATCATTAATCCAGCACACCATGCCCCTAACTGCCAAATTAAATACCTTCAGGGATTGTGACTCAAGCACTTCCCTGGGCAGTCTGTTCCATGCTTGATCTTATAAAAGAAAAAAAAAAAAGGCAGTTCTTCATCTATAATCAAAAAAATAGGTCAGAAATATACCCACTAGAATTAGTAAGTATTGGTTTGCAAGGCACATTTTTTAAATGATCAATCAGTGGAGTTCACTGCCATGAACTACTGTGGTGGGAAGGAGGTCTTTCAGCACAAATTCCAGACCTTATATAAACTAGAACCAAAGTAAAGAAAGAAACATCAACTCCTGTCTCATAACACAATAAATTCATATCTCACTAGCTTGTTTAGTAAGGAATCCCTTCTATCAGATTTCATTCTATCTGAAACTAATGCAGTGTGGTAGTTTCCAAGGCCCTGTGCAGACTTTCCATATTACTAATAAGGGCAGAAGTTAAACTGAAAAATATAAAATTGTTCCATCAGAGTCTTGGATCAGCAAGACAGACCCTGAGAAAAGCAAATGAGAATGAGCACATTAGAGAGCTGGTAAGCTCACGTGTGCAATCTATTAAAATGACTGAGCCAAGATTGATGTGGTTTAATTCAAAAGACAAAAGCAAGAGGAAACATGAAAGAAGACTTCAAATACATAAGGGATGACACACAGAAAAAAGAAATAATCCATTCTCAATATCTATCTTGGAGAAGATAACTAGTAATTAATTGAAATCACAGCAAAGAATTTAGGAAGCACACGAAGCTTTCTCACAGTAAGGACAGTTAACACTGGAATGGACAGTCTGAAAATGGTGCTCCATTATCACAGTATCTTCATCCAACCTGTCAGCAAAACCTCTGAGAAAAGATACAGGTAAACCTGATTCTGCCCTGGTTCCAAGGAGTTGTGGTTTAACTCCAGACAGCAACTAAGTGCCATGCAGCTGCTCAATCTCTTGCAATGCTTCTCCTTTCCCCACAGTGGGGAGAATTGGAAATAAAAGGTAAATCATGTGGGTTGAGATAAGAACAATTTAATAACTGAAATCTCATCATGATAATCATAATAATCATCAGCAGAGTGAGATTAGGTAACAGAACCAAAGAGAAACAAAGTGATGCACAATACGGTTCTTGATACAATTGCTCATTGTCTCCTGCCCATCCCATCCCCAAAAAACAATCATCTCCTTCTGGGTAACTCCTGCGGTTTATATACTGGGCATGACATTCTATGGTGTGGAATATCCCTTTGGCCAGTTCAGGCCACCTATCCTGGCCCTGCTCCCTCCCTGCTTTTTGTGCTCCTCCTCACTGGCAGAGCACAAGACACCGCAAAGTCCTTGACACAGGGTTAGCCTACTTAGCCAGAGCCAAAATATCAGTGTGTTATCAGTATCATTCTCATACTGAATGCAAAACCACAGCACTATACCAGATACTAAGAAGAAAATTAACTCTGTCCCAGACAAAACCAGATAGGGGAGCATGAAGTTCCTTTTGGCCCTAATTTCAGTTATTACTTTTTCTTCAACTAGCTTGCTTACTGAACAAGTGCAAGACAGCCAAATACAATTTCACTGCAAGCTAGCAGATAAAAGGAAACTGCCTGCTCTCTTACCGAATGCTAAGCATTCATGAAATTCAGTAATTGATGTATCATAGCTCTGCAGATATCTTCATATTTCTACTGTTATATCTAACTTAACAGCGGAAGTCGGTAACAGCCTGAAATACGGTGCAAAGATCACTTGTTATGTTCACACTATGGTCCTGCCCTTATAACCACTGGGCAAAATAGCACCCTTGGGTACCCTGAGCAGGAGATTAAGCAATACTTCAGCTCCAGCCAGCTGAAATTAACCCCCCAGAACTACAGGAGAAACAAAAGGCACAACACAGACATACTTTCTCAAGCAAATTACTGCCACTGCAGTCTAAGTTGCTGCTGCCCTATTTATAATAACAGAGCTACTTGTTTAAGCAAAGGACAAAGGAAGTATTTCCTTCTAATGCTGAGCTTTGCTCTCTGTGTCAGTTTCTAAGTGTTCTTAAAAATACAGCTCTGGTCTCAGACTTCCCCTCTCTGACAAGAGATACACTCGCACCTACAGCACATAGACAGGCTTGGTTATTAGGTATTATCATTTATTATTACATTCTTTCCATACCTGACATCTCTCCTGCCAGCATTAGGTCTCTCCTACTTTCGTAAGTCTTATCTCACAATAAGAAATCACTTAATTTTTCAAAAGGTGAAATTGTCAACCTTTTTATAAAGAGACTCTACTTCTATTTCTGGAGTCACTAGGCATGTTCTTGTGCCCTCCTGACTTCAGAAGCACTGTTGGCTGCATCCACAGAATTCACTTACCTTTTGTGTCCTGCATCACAATTGAGCTGTACTTCAAGAAGGTTATCAGCAGGTTGCTCGTTTGCACATCAGCATCCAGAGGCAGCTCTGCAGAGCTTATAACTGGAACAAAGCAGATAAGTCACATTTATCCTGTACAAATACAAGAAATAACTATACAGAGAACTAAGACACTGACAGGTCTGGGGTAGGATCAGCCTATCTGCAGGACCACCTGACCTCCTCCTCCTCCTCCATGACCACCCAGGAAAAATTTTGTTATGAAGACTTGTACCACTCCCTCAGAAACCATTTCTCCTGCTCTAAGCACAGACTGTGGTACCCTGCAAAGTGATGTCCTCCTCTGTCCTGCCCCTGCTCCTCCTCCCAGAGAGATGAGCCCACTGTTTCAGCACTCATCAACATCCCCAGCCCAGGGAAATCAGGATATTTGCCCCGATATCCAATTAATTCTTACAAGCAACACAGATAACAGTCACACAATTCTCATTTTGTAAAAAGATGTGCCCAGGAAAGGCCGTTCTCTGTTTCAGCAATTTTGAAATGTTAGTTCCAAAAGGTCTGTGTCAATTCCATTCTTCCCTCTCAACAACAGTTTCTCTTGCAAGAGCAACACACAAGACATAATGTAACAATTATTGCAGGACCTAAGAGATAGAAAACGAAGGCAGAAACAGAAGATTTATAAAAATCAAGAAGCAAAAGCAGTCACAGCTTGTGCTAGATACATCTCAACCCAGCAGGAATCAGAAATGTACTTTCCATACCCGCAGTAGTTCATTGGCATTTCTCTAGCACCAGCTGTACTTTTGACACCCTAACAGTGGACATCACCTGCCTTAGACTTTACAAGAAGCTATTTCATCTCCTCAGCTAATTGCACAATGTGCCTCCTCACTCACTCCCCCATTCCCCATGCACCATCTGAAGCACTGAGTTTATGAGCTGTCAAGCCTCTATCATGTGACTGAGCCACATTTTTACTGATGACTGAGCCTGAGCTGTCCTAAAGGGCCATTCTCTGCCTTTCCATTTGGAAAGCTTTACAAGAAATATTGAAAGGGAGGAGAAAGACCAGTGGGAAACATGCATCATGCATTTACCTGCAGATCCTGCCAGATAAGTCTGATACCATTTAAGATAAAGTAGCTCAGATAAAAAAATCCTCAAACTGATTGAATTAGCCAAGGAACACTTCAGTAAAGCACTTAATACAGTTATGTATTAAAAAAATTAAAAGTGAAGGAAATAGGTGGGAATCCATAAAGAAATTTAAATTAAATTAAATTTCTTTTCTATTTCACATCCAAGATCTGGCAAACAAGATACAATCGGAGAAAATACTGGTGTGAGACAAAATTACTGCTTCAATTCTGCAGACATTAGTTTAAAGAATAGTTCTTTTTTTTTTTTTTTCTTTTTTTTCTCTGTGACCTGGATATAAGAAACAGTTGCTTGATAATGAACCTGCTAATGGCAGAAAGTTGGGATGTGTAAACACAGAGGAGTATCAGACTGCACATAAAGAATGGGATATAAGCAAGAACAGATAATAAACACAAGATGAAAATAAATAATGCAAGCCATACGGTCAGGAATAAAAAAAATACCATGATCAGATCACGAGGTGACAAGCTACCAACATGAAGGGCTCAAGAGTGCAGTTCTACAACATATATCCAGAAATGCAATTCCAGCAGAGACCCAAACACTGTAATGCCCTGCACAAGGCTGGTGAGACTTTGTCTCAACCACTGCGCATAATTATGGACAAGCTGTGTTCAAAGGGGACAAACTTCAACTTGAACAAGTTTAAAGACAGGCTAGTATGTTGATCATAAGAACAGAGTACCTTTTTTGTGAGACAGCAAAACACACAGGTGAGTAAACCAACACATGAAGAAGAGCAACCTTCGTTTCACGGGAGGCCTAACACCATGACAAATGGGTATGAATTGACAAGAAATCCAGGCTGCAAAGTTAAATATTTCTAACCAAGGAACAAGATGCTGAAACTGCCCCCCAACAGAAATTATTGGGAAATAAATTTAACAGATTGAGTCAGAGCTTGATAAATTCAAGGGATCGCATGCTGATATGCCTGCAAGCGCAGGGCACTAGGCTCAAGAGTCAAGGAGACCTTTTCCAGCTCCATGCAACTGTCCTGACATGACAATGACATGACTGTTCTGGCTGCCTAGGGGGTAAAACTCACAGGTTCTCACATTCAGGAGGTCATAGATGGCTTGAATTATGATTGACCAAGGTCTCTCCCTTCTCATGCTATAAAGACAGCCTAAGACAGGGCTCCTTTTGCACTGGAAACAGATTTGCTACTACACCCATTTAAGTATTACACCATCTCTTCTCTGCCTATCCTCAGGAATGCTCAAGGCTTTCTCACCTTTTAGGAAAGAAAAAGGTATTTATCATGAGATTGGACCTTGTAAGAAATGAGGAATTACATCTGAATATTGGATGACTAGGCTGGGGGTTCTGAGGGGAAATAATACCATCCTGTACACAAGTGTATTTTGATTCAGAGATAAGTCTGCTTTAATACAAAACACCTTTCAAAATTCAAGGCTTGTACCCTGTAATGAGGCAAGCAAGGCTTCAGCTGGGGCAAGGGCAGGCACAGAAGGATGAAGGAGACAAGCCAAGAGCAAAATGCAGGATCCTTTAAACTGTGCAGTGAGAGGCCCAGAGCACAGCAGAGGTTCTCATGGAACTCAGGATTACACAATCACCTTCAATACAAAACTGTAGCCCTTGGAAACAACAGGTCAAACACATCAATGTAACTTCACTGTTCAAATCACATTAAAAAAAAATAACTGGGCTTTTAGGTTATAAAGGTTGCACGTGCCCACCTGTGAGCCGGTTTAGTCCATTCAGTCAAAGACCTGGAGCTCCAGACACATTACTAATGTGCCATGTCAGCTGGCAAAGTCTGTGCAATGAGACTGGAAGCTTTCTCACTCCCAATATTATGAATAGCTCAAAGACTTAGCTAAAAGTCTGAAAAATGTATTTATATCCCCAGTGGATCCTTCTTGAGCTGTTACAATGAACGTAGTGAATGAATATTTAACAACAGTAAGCAAACTGACATTTAGATAACTATGGTGACAGGCACACTTGATTTACATATTATGGATAAACAGTTTCTAGCAAAAGCCTCATTTCTCAAAAAAAAAAAAGGGAAGAAATCACTCTGAAGCACACATCACTGCTTATCCTGGTTCATGATACAGACCTTTTTTAACACACATTTTGAAACTTTACAAGGTCTTAATTCACCCTATAGGTTAACAGCCAGAGAAATTTCAAACCAGAACATGAACCCTATTTTTATGCCAGACAGCATAAAACAAAAGCATCTGAAATTCATAGATGGATTTCTACAGGTTAATGTAACTTCAAAACAGTTCAACTACACATTATTTTAGTGCAGTAAAGAGAAAGCAATCCTATCATTCCACAGCCAAGAAGCCTCTTGCTAACTGGCAGCCAGAGGCAAATTTTACAGCTGAGTTGCAAGACCTTAGTAAATGAGGAAAATTCTGACATCTCTTTAAAACAGCAGTACTTAAGCACCACCAAACTAAACCAAGCCAAGGGCCACAAAAAAAAAAAAAAAATCAAGTTGTAGGGATCAACAAGGTGACAGCAGATAAAAATAAAGCAAGCTTCCCAATGCAATTGCTGCACATAAAGATCAGATCCTTTTCTTAAATTTAGTAACCATAGAAGCCACAAGAAGCCTCAAACTTCTCAAGATAACTGCCTCTGCTGAAAGCAGGATGGAGGTTTTGTTTTCATTTTGTCTTGTGGTAAATGAAAAAATAAAGAAAAAGAAGTGCAAGCAAGCTGTAGATGCAGGTAAGCACAAATTCTGTCAGTTGTGTAATATGGTGTGGGGGTGGATACATTTGCAATGAACACATTGAACAGAAGCCCATAAAATGCCCATCCCTCCACATTTTATGTTATATGCACACAAAGACACAGGGGACTCTTTTTCTGAAGCTTTTGTTATCCATGGCAACCAGACAGAATCCATCCATGAGGAGGATCATCCTTAACTAGGGTATCAAATGACCTGAATAGCTGATATAACTGAGTAACCCAGGCTGCTTTTCCCCAGAAATATTTCCAAACTGTGCTCTATTCAAATTGACACTGTTCCTTCATTAAACACTCTTCAGCTCAGATGCCATTAAAGTACATGAAAACAGCCATTTCATTTCTTCTCTTCAACTAGGCTATATCTATCCATACCTTAAAATGAAAGGGTTTTATTTGAGATGATTTCAAAGCATATTTATGTGGACACATAACATCTCATTTAGAAGAGAGATCTCAGGTTAAGCAGTCCTTTACAAAGCCTATCAAAGAAAAGGCAATAAGAGGGAGGAATACTTCCACACCCAGACTGAATTCAAATCCCAATTAATTCAAAGCTGAGGACAAGTGCGTTAATGGCAAGCAGGAATCCACAGCGATTCTCTGTAAATCTGTTCCAATGACAAATAATCCCAGGCAAAGGACCTGACACCAGTAATATTCATAAGTAAAAGCCTACAGAGAATAACTAATGGGCTGGGTGTACTTTCATGCAAATATTGGGGCAGTACTATTTTCAGAAGGAATATCAGCATAATTTCATTGAGCAATACACAAGGCAAAATAAAAATAAATTTGAGTCAAATAATCTTGTCCGTGTTTAGCAAGGCATATTACTCCAGGAAGGGACCACCAAGTTACATCTGCTCCAGACAGACCTCATTAGTTGCAATCTCCAGAAAACAGTTTGCTAGTTATTTAACAGTTTTAAATTATTTTTCCTCAGGAGATCATTGCGTTTTTACCATCTGAAGAAGGCGGGGTGGTTCCAAGTGGAGTGACAGGTGTGGTTGGAACTGGGCTCGTTGGTGATGTCATCAGGCCCATTTCAGGATGGCTCTAAAAGAAAACAAATGCACAGGTCAACTGCTTCCCCAGGCACTAGAAACACAGACCACTGCTTGTACTGTTCCATGCTCTTGTACAATAGACATGACTAAAGTCTCAAGAAACTTCAATCTCTTCTCCAAAGGGCCAGACCATGGTTCCTGACCTTGGATGTCTAACTGTACATCAATTTCTCTACTCCACAAAACACAAAAACACATCAGAAAATGGTGATTCTCCCCAGCAGACAGAAAAAATCCCCTTCCCTAATGTAGAATGGGAGAAGATTTGCAAAAGCCTACAATGTTAATAGCTTCTGATTCCCGCTAAAACAACGCAAGGATGTGCACTTGAAGACTTTCCCCATGATCCTTTTACTTCTATTTCTAAGAGCAAATTCTCCTTGCTCCTGTCCCCCACCTGTTCATATTCAAAGATAATGGCAATTTATTACTTTCCTGTCTCACTGTAAAGCCCTGCAGGAAAGACACTGCAGGAAAACAGTGCATAACATAAATAATACTTTCATTATTGATCCTCTCAGCTTCCATCAGCCAGTCGCTCTCCCCATTTCATCTTTGCTAATAGTTGCCTGCCTAATTACTGCTTTGACTTCACTCTTTGCAAGCTTCCAGACCCATCCACACTGGTGAGAGCGTAGGCAATCTGCCATGCTATTTTTGAGTCTGGCTGCCAAGCAAAGTGTCCATTTCATAGGGCAAGTTTTACATAAATGTATCATCTGCCTTAATATATCATCACAATTTCAAAATAAAAGGAAGATACAGAACTGCTGATTTGATGTTAGTTAGTTCCATAGGATTTTTCACAAGTGGATATCCTCCATACTGCTTTTGAATATCTAATTTTATGAGCAACTATAAATACATATATTTTATGGGAAGCACAGGCACACATACTACAACTCAAAAACAATTTACATCTCTACAGCTACCAACTTACACTTAAAATACCATTTTTTACTGAAAATCTTACATAAGCCAGATTTCCTTAGACAGGTTTGGGGGCTTACCTTCTTTCTCCAGAACAGTAAATGGCAGATGAGAGACAAGAGTGCCACCCAGCAGCAAACCCGAGCACCCACAGCTGGTGAGCACACATTTAACACTCCAGATATCCACACAACTGAATCCCTGCTCTCCCAATGTGCCACACAGCAGCAGGAAGCCATTCATGCAGCACCAAGCAATGGACACCAGCTTAGGCAAGAGCATTCATCAGCTTTTATGAGGCTTTTTCAATATGACATGACCTACCTTGCCCTCTCTTAAATGAAGGATTACAGACAATCCACCCAAGAGTATAAGTTCTCCAATTCAACCCACTGATCAGTGGCTGCTTCAACTTCTTTCACAAGTAACTAGTCTATCCTTTTATTTTTAAGAGCTTTTACTCTAGCTGATCTTTTTCTGCTCTGCTCTTTTCCCTGCCAAATGCCTCTCTTCCCTGAGGAGTATCTTGCCCACAGAAAGGCTTGAGTTGGTATTACACAGAACTGAAAGAGCAGAAATCTCTGAAAAGTGGTAGGAATGAATAACCTGGGAAAAGACAAGCTGGGAACTTCAGCAAATTAACCATCCATGAAAGAGAAGCTTTCTTCAGAGGCTGTAGATCTGCTTATCAGACCTCTTCCATCACCACTACTGTCACGAGTCCCCAAAGGTCTCCTCTCTCATGCCAAGTGTCCAGCCTGCAATCTATGGCTGCACTCTGAGGACCCAAACAAACTGGGGAAAGGTGTTAACTGTTTTGTTGGTGTTGTTTTTCTCAGAGATTACAAGCAGTACCTACAGACCAAATTAAAAGCCTGAACCTGAAGGTCTTCCTAAACACGTCGAGCTACCCTTTCAGCACAATCACTGCATCAGACAGGCTCATTATCTGCCTCCCAGCAGCAACCACCTCTCCAAACTCACGCTGCATTTAGTATAGCATCCAGAGACCTGTGATCAGAGCAGCCTCTCAGAAGGCTGTTTCTCCCCCATAAAAATCTCAAGAACAAACGCTATGCTCCAACAACTGGTTCCCATGCCAAAGGGGTTGAGCTCTTCAAGGAAGTCTGAACACAAAATAGTATTTGAAACAACAACTGTCACATGTCAATTGGCCCCTAAGTGAAGAATACCCAACAGACAACAACATGCAGTCCATGCACACACATACAGGATAATCCACCCAGTTTGGGAGCTGGATCAGCCTCTTTCTCTCAACCCTAACTTAACAAAACTGTGATTTGCTCTGAGAGCTACAGCAACTGCTTTGCTCACTCCATCCTTCCCCTAAGTGGACTACCAACAGGGCACAGAAGGCACTCCATGCAGCCCTTCCCATTTAGTGGCAAAAATTAATCATTCCAACATGAACTGTGACCTCAAAACTCTACTCATTTACTGTCAAGACAGGAAATATATAATAAAAATTCTTCCCCTGGTCCTGGCCTGCTTCTGCTCTTTCATGCTGATCTATGATAAGTACATAAGGGGGAAAAAAAAGAAACTATCTTTTCACCAATTCCATTTCTGGCTCTCTGATTTCAAAGATATTCACTACAAAGAAATGGGGAAACATTCCACTGAAACTCACTTGTGCCAGAACTGTGATGAAATTCCTGTTTAAGTGAACAGCTTCATAGAGGGCCAGAAGGATTGCTTCATTTGTTCTGTGGGAAGGATGCAGACAAAGGCACAGTTAGTGATCAGAATACTAGCAGCCAAGTTCTTCAGAAGCATAGCCTACCTGAAAAAAGCATTTTTTTTTTCAACTATGGAAAATTCTGCCTCTGTAGTCCAGTTGTTCTTCCAACTATTAGTAGTACTAATTACAGTACTAGTAGTAGCAATTCACAAAAATACAGCACATGTACAAGTTTTGTTGCTTTCCCACTGAAGGTGTCCCTAGTTGCTTAGTGTTTTCCACTTAAAGCCCTCTCTTTTAAGAGCAGACAGTCCTAAAAACACTAAAATCTCTCAGATTTATCAGTTGCCCCATTAATTTAGAAAATATTTTGGTGAGGGCCAGAGTGCACAACCTTTGCTTCTCATGTGTCACCCCTGACACACCTATTATATTTCATAAACACCTCATAAAAACCACTGGAGTTTTTTTTTATAGACTTCATTACAAGCAATTCAGCTGTGTCTCCTCCTGCTGTACCCTCCTCACGGAAGGGCAAATCACAGTTTGCAGGGTGTGGTACCATTTCAGTGACAGGAGAACCTGCTCCTCTAGTTTGCTTTGTGACATTAAATAGCTGCATGACGGAAGGGATGGCACCGACCACTCCACTGTGTAAATAACAGTAATAAGCTGTGCACTTACTGGACAGAGATCTTCTCATCAGCATCTGCTATGAACATGCTGCCCACCTATGGAAAGAGAGAGCATTGCACAGCAGGAATTTGGGAAAGCTATTAGACAGCAAGAGACAACACATGGGTAAAAACACATTTTATTTTGCTGTACTGTCACTGACCAAATGCTTCACCTGTCAAATCATTAAAAAAGGACAAAAAAAAAAAGACTGAATCTTATATCCCAGCCTGGATTAGTTTGCCATTTTTTAAGAGGATAACAGAGATTATTTCCTATCTGCTTGCCCCAGGGTGGTCACAGTTTTACCCAAGTCACTCCTACAGAAAGCGGTCTACACTGAACTACCCTTACCTACAGGAAATTTTTCTGTCAGTTAGATTTCAGATTAGTATGAAATCTCTGACTAAAGCAAAGCCAAACTGAACAAGAGGAACAGTGAATACTCTTTACAAGGAAGAAATTCACAACTGTTTTTGAAGGGTATCCCTTCAAAAATGCAGACAGTGCCCACTGCAGAATCCAAGCTTCACTTCATAGCTAAAGTGCATCCAAGTTTGAGAAACAAAACAGTACAGAAACAGAACCTCAAAGACTAGTGACATTCCAGACTATGTGCCACTATGTTTTAGGCCACATCACCAGAGTAGTAACTAGTTTTTAAAAATACATAGCTGTCTAAAAGGATTAAGAAGTTAAAAAATTAATACAAGTTTAAAGTAAGGTGATTTTTAAAATAAAGTCAGCTGGAGTGAAGAAGATGCAGGAAAAGAATTTCAGCTATCAACACAAGAGTAGAGGTCTCATCCTTTGAAAGAGCTTTCCCAGCCAGACAACACACACCTCAGAATACAACCATTTCAGTTGTATTTAGTTTTGATTCATTCAATCCATCTCTATCTCCAGACCTCACATTCCAAACTCACACTTTTTAGAAACACTCTCCTCCTGAACTTGCATGAATGCACCTTTTTAAGAATGGAAAAACGTGTTTCCATGCTTACCATGTTAGTTAGGGCTGAGAAGAAACCAGTCTGATGCTCCTCTTCTTTATCTTTGTATTGCCTGAACAAAAAGGAATAAGGATGAAGTTTCAGGGCTAGAAATGGAACCACGGTTACTTCACCTAAATCCCTATGTCTTAGTCCTATTTGACAAGAATATAGGATGGAGGAAACTTCAACATTCAACAGCCTTTTTCAAGGACTCACAAAAGAAGAGATAAAGGGTATTAAAATATTTGTAAATTGTGTAGAGTTGAAGTGCAGCTGCAGAAAGAAGTAAAACTTGAACAATGCTTGTGCTGTTGCAGAGGACAAGCAGTCTGGGCTAACTCTGAAGGAAAGGGATCAAGTGACTTCACAAATTTGGTCCTGCACTAGACAAACAGTAATAAGCCACATGAGCACACAGAACATTTTCATTTCATCATCCACTACAGAAAAAACCAGAGTTGGTCATCCAACTGTGTACAGAAAGAAATCAGCAGAAATGGCCAGCAGAAACCACATGGACCTTTATGGTCCATGGCCTGATCCCATTTTCCTGGAGCAAGTGAAGAGACTGGAACTAGAGCAAGTGAAGTCAACAAACAGGTTGGGTACTTCAGATTAAAGCTACACTGCTTCATCAGGCACTCAAAGGGACTAGCAAAGCTCACACGGCCATTTATTTTGTCTGTCACACAGGAATCCGATCACACACAGTGTAACATGCCAAGAAACCAACTTTAAATTCTTGGGAAAGGGGGAAGAAATGAGCTAAGAAAACCAGGCCATGATCTGAGACAGCTTTTGTCAGAATGAAGGAAATTGGGTGGGTGAAGTTTTTTTCTGCTTTACCCTAATCACTTACTCTGTTAAATACATCTACATGATTTGCTGATTTTGCAAGTCACCTGCATAACTATCACAGTAGGCTTTCAAATGAATAAAAACATTTTTCTGGATATTTTGAGAACCCTACTGCACAAAAAAAAATTGAGTTTCCTAGGTGAAATTGCTGTAAGTTTCCAAATTTTTCTAAAGCACTTTCCTCTTAGGAAAGCCTGCATGTTTTATGGTGCTACTTATGAAGTAGAGGCTAAGAATATGCTGCCTTTCTGGCTCTTTCTTCAGCAGTAGTTACTGCTTTCCACCATTTGGAAGAGTTTACAACTCCTAATCATCTCTGATCTGGTATGCGGACAGCCCTGGATACATTTGTTTGTTTGTTGTAGATAGTGTTTCAGCTAAATCAATTTTTCAATAGAGAAGTTGTCAGCAAATTATTATGTTTTCACTTGTGACTAAGATTTTACACAAAGTTCACACAGAGGTAAAATCCATGACAATAAAAACATACAATGGATATCTTCCCCTACAGCAAGATCTCTCCTGAAGCATGTCAGCCCAGCTGGTACAGATACACTGAGACTTGCAATGACTGCATCAACTGAAGCCAAGTACTTCAAAGCATAAGACTATTCCCTGCCTCTCCAGGTGCATCAAGGCTGTCAGGTGATAAAGAAGTGCTTTAACACAGAAAGAAAATAAAGTTTGTGAAAATGTACAGTAACTATCATGTATTGAAAAACATGACACGATTTGGTTTTACCTGTTATATTCTGATAAAGCCTGGCCAATTACAAGTCCCATTCCCTGAAAAAAAAAAGTGTTTAAAAAAAACTCCACATTAAAATCTCAAGGTAGAAAATCACACATTGAACACACATAGCAATGCTACCCTCCCAAGATAACCTAGCATGCTATGCAGAATTTCTCTTGAAGCTGTTTGAACTATTAAGATGTGCTATGATACAACAACATCATAACACAAAAACCCAGACAACAAAATTGAGAGTTATTTACTAATTACTAAGTTAAACAGAAAACATTTATTCTCCTTGGACCTCCTGATAGAGCTCTCACTCAAGAAGCCTCAGTAAAGCATCAAGCAATTTAGAAAGAAGTTGGTGTCAGAGGAAGGATATCCAAAAATTTAAAACAAAGAGTCACAGACACGAATAGCCTCTGACTGCTTGCAAACAGCCTCCACCATTACACAACTACTAACAGTTCTCACCCTTTATTTACCATGGAGCTTGCTTTCTGCTTCATGCCTAAAGAGCAGCTCCCAAGCCCAGAACTCACATAACTCAGTCTGCTGTCAATTTTAATCCAGGCCTGGATAAAAAACTCAGACTGTAGCTACAATCCAAAACATATTGCAGGACTCTTGACTCAGATACAGGCTTCCACTGAGCTACAAGAATTGCCTTGTGGACTGGTAAAATCAAGTGACACAGCACCAGAAATGAGATTCCCTTTGGCATAAATCATCCTGTCCTCTTTGGCACATGACAGCAAACAGTGTACAGATAGTTCATGAATGCATAATAGATCAACTGTAGCATGTTTCTTGCTACCTAGCTTTTTAACCACCCCCACCATTTAACTGGTGATCAAACTGCTCAAATCATGAGCTGCCTAACCTATTGCAAGAGCACTTTGCAATTCAGTCAGGGCTGAACAATCACTGCACTGGCACTCCTTAGAGCAGCACTGTTCTGAGACCTGATTTCTACCATACCCCATGCCAGCGTCCATTAGCCTACACTTCATGTGAAAGAGCATCTCCAGCAGCACAGAGAAATCAAGCCAAGTACTCACATTGAGTGTGGCCTCATCATCCACAATGGACAGCTTCACAATGTAGGGATTCACTGACTGCTCAAGGTGGGGCGACAAAGAAGAAAGGAAAATGGTTTTAAGTTCAGCCTTCAGAGGAAAAAAACCACTATTATGTTTCCAAGTTTACACAACCACCTGGGAAGAATCTCCGTCACACTGTCCCATAAAACAGAATATACACAAATAAGCAGAGTCACAGCACATGGTAAGACCACTAGGCCAGGGACATGTTCCCCTTATTGGCTCAGCCAGGCACTCTCCTGATTTTGAGAAGAGGAGGGAGTTTCCATCCCTCCACCAGCTCATCTGCCAGTCTGGAAAGTGGAGCAGCCATCCTGCAAGCCTGTTATCTGTGACACACACAGAGTTTTGCAGCAGGAACAGGCAGTGAAGCTGGATGCAGCATTAGTGCTCTGCTCTCTCCCTTCTGCAACACCCTGTAAAGATTGCTTAAAGCAGCACCCAGGAAGGCAGGACAACATTCTAGACTCATCTGCTGCTGGGTTAGAGAGCAACACTTTGTTTGCACACTAAGAGCTGGAAATCTCTAGAGAAGATAAATGCCTTGAATTTAGCTGAAGAAAGCACACAGGCTTCATCTATAAAGACAAATGCTAATAATTTCAGAAGCATTTCAGATTAGCAAATGCACATTTTTCCTGGTTTATATGTGTCAGTGCAAAACTAAGACAAATGCTAATAATTTCAGAAGCATTTCAGATTAGCAAATGCACATGGTTTATATGTGTCAGTGCAAAACCAAAAAAGCTGATTTTGAAAGAAGACACAGAAGAAAAGTCTCATCTGCAGGCAGGTCATTTTGCAGGGAATTGGAGCTTGAATAATTACTTTTCTTTTAAAGAGAATATTTTTTAAAAATCATTTGAGTTATGCAAGATCTTTGGAAAAAAAAAAAGAAAAAAGAAAAACACATGAACTTTATGATTCTCCAGAGCTGTGTCTTTCAGTACCCATGGTTGTCTATACCAAAGAGAGGCAAGTGCACAAAACTGGACAGGAAGTGTTGTTGGAAACACTATATGCAGCCAGACAAGCACACAAAGGGAAAACCCCACACTTTAAATTATTTCTTACAGCTCTGTCTAACAAAAGCCACAATGTAATTCTAGCACGTTGAATATGACTCAAACAAACTTCTGCCTAGATGTTATCATTGACCATGTATTCAAAAGTCACTATTTGATTTTATGATTTAACTTGCTATCCTATCAGCCACCCCTTAAAACACTGGCAAAATGATCAAATAATTACTTTTTCTCACAGCATTTTCTTTCTCACAGTATCAATGCAAAAGCATTGTCTCCAAAATCAGGACTAGTATTAAAAAAAAAAAAAAAAAAAAAAAAAAAAAAAAAAAAAAAGAAAATATAGCTGAAGCCTTGGACAAGTATATAGTTGGAACAACTTGTGAAAATTATTAGGATTTCAATCAGAGGCATCCCTTTAAAGGTTACAAGTAAAGACATGCAAATTCCTAGAACAGGAGTTAATAAGCAAGATCTCATCAACATAGGTAATGGAGAGATACTCTCTCCAAGGAATTTGAGAGATTACAAAATACACATCCCAAAAATACAAAAGAACATCCTAATGTAAAACACACTGGTATTTACACTAAAAATAGACACAAAACATAGTCAGCTAATGAATTTTGAGCCTTATTAGATTTTCTTAAACAGCTGGAAATACAACTTAACCATGGAGTTCAGTCCAAAAGAGAACCTTTCAGCTGCACCACAGCTGAAAAAGAGAACTCCAGAGCACCTGAGGCATGAAAGTGTGCTTAAAAAAAAAAAAAAAAAAAAAAAAAAAAAAAAAAAAAAAGAAAATATAGCTGAAGCCTTGGACAAGTATATAGTTGGAACAACTTGTGAAAATTATTAGGATTTCAATCAGAGGCATCCCTTTAAAGGTTACAAGTAAAGACATGCAAATTCCTAGAACAGGAGTTAATAAGCAAGATCTCATCAACATAGGTAATGGAGAGATACTCTCTCCAAGGAATTTGAGAGATTACAAAATACACATCCCAAAAATACAAAAGAACATCCTAATGTAAAACACACTGGTATTTACACTAAAAATAGACACAAAACATAGTCAGCTAATGAATTTTGAGCCTTATTAGATTTTCTTAAACAGCTGGAAACACAACTTAACCAAGGGAGTTCAGACCAAAAGAGAACCTTTCAGCTGCACCACAGCTGAAAAAGAGAACTCCAGAGCACCTGAGGCATGAAAGTGTGCTACAATTCACTGACAACCAGACAACCACCATACTGACCCTAAGGGCCAAAGAACAGCAAATGAAAGCAGCTACTCAAGGACAAAGATTATGGCTGCATTACTAGAGGCTTGGCTTGTAGCACTGCTACAAAGGGCAGTGTTGGGCAGTTGTCACATAAAACCCTCCTGAGTGCTGCTTGGGCTGAAGTTCCCCTTGCTACATGTCTGCTTCAGTTGGATTGTATGGATTGCACTTTTCAAACATCAGCACAACTTCCTTAAGAGTGCCCAGTTTCAAGACGTCTCGGCGTGTTCTCCAAAGCACTCAACCCCAGCTCAATACTCCCCCGAAATCCAAGGACAAGTCTCCTGCACTCACAACATTCCACCTGACTAAGGAAAGGACATAAACTGCAGTCCACAGGGCTCCATGCCTCAGGGATGGGATTACACAGCTCTCCATCATCTGTCTGAATGTTGCAATGACACCTTTGGGTCTTCCCAGTCCACCCTCATAAGTAACCCCACTTACAGATAGTTCCCAACAGTTTTCCCTCATAGCCATATACTGAAATCAGACTCCATGTTCCTGTTCCATGCTACCACAGCACAGAATGCTGAAGAGAATCTGCAATTCATGATTCTGACATCATTGACAGGAATGAGAAATTGACAGGCATTACTTTGACACCAAGTGTAGTTCTTGTCCTTGCATATTCTCTAGGTCTATTCATAATTCAGAACAAGATCTATTATAAAACCAGGTAGGTTTTGAAGCCTGCTCCCTCCCAGTAATTCTGTTGAAAGGCAGGTTATTCCAGAACCTTCCTATTTGGTGCCTAATGAAGTATATTAAGATATTCCTATTTATGAAGAAAAAAACCCTGATCATTAAAGCATCATGCCTCATACAAAAAAAAAGCCAACATTAGGTGTTGTTCTGACATTTGACATGGGGCTTTTTTCCAAGCTGATGAATAACAGAAATTAACAGGAAAAATGGGAATATACCATAAACATAAAAAGAATGATGAATAAAGTTCCTCAAAGAGGAATCCATCAAAGAGCGAGAGAGAGACTTCTCTTGGAACTACTAGCTGTGATGTTTCAGTTCATTCTTTGGTCACAGCTCCACCATCTCTTCTGGGGATCTGTGCTCTTTCAGTCAGCTACTCAGGTCCTGAATCACAAATTCAGTCTGAAGCCCAGGATGACTGACAGCTCATTTTACTTTGGAGATTATGTATAGCCACACAGTCACACACAAACTGAGGCAGACATGTGGTTTGGCACAACAGCAACTCTTCCAAAAGGACCTTCCTCAGACTATTTCCACAAAGAAAATGCAAATTCTCTAGGTAGTTTCTTTCATGCCGGCACAGAAGGAGCTGTAGGAGTATCACACACATTTGATTGTACACATCCATCAGAGACAGACACAGGGAGCATCACCAGGGCTGCCTTGCAAAGCTTCTCCTGCTCCACGCTGATGCCCTGATGCTACAGTGTGCACTGCTCAGAATTGTACTGTGTGCTGCCTTCATAATCCAGAGGCCACCCTAAATTAATAAAGTAGAGAGAAGTGATGTTTCTACACCTACCTCATACTTTCTGTAGTTGACCAGCAAGGCCAGAAGGACAACAGCATCATACCCATGTTCCCTGCGACTAAGAGGGTTGGACAGGATCTGGAATAAACAATCACACTGTTCTGTTAGGCCTCCTTCAGGAAGCTTGCAGTGACTCAGAGTATACCCATGAAATGTATGTGTAAGAGCAAATTATGTCCTATCTGAAAGAGGATATTTAGGGTGAAGGGAGTGTCACTGCCTCAAGGAAGTTCTGCACACAGAGAAGCTTATTTATCACAGAAAGGATGCACACAGGCTTTCAGGGCATAAAGGGAAAATATATTTCACAACAGCACTGTATATTATCTTATCATAAACTGTGCAAGTGTCCTGGTTTTCTCCAAGGCTCAGTTCCACTGAAAAAAGTATAATGTATCCAAGAGCAGAAAAAAATATATCCACACTACCTTCTGAAAAACAGTTTCTCCAGTAAAGGAATTCTGTGTGAAAATAGCCCAGAAATCTGTTCAGATTCTAACTGTGTAGAAATGTCTCAAGTGAAAATACTTTAAATAGTCAGTAGCGACTAAACACAGCAGACTAGAGTAAAGGGGAGGGAACATTACAAAATATATGTATGACTGAGCTATGAATGAAGTAACAACAGTGCCAGTGAACTACACTGCATTGAAAAAGCTGAAAAGCAAACACACTACTGGAAGTTCTCACTACGGAAGAGTCCCCACAGCAGAAGGAAGAACCCTTACCTGTAAAATAGCTTCAAATATGCTGTTAATCATCACATACTCCAGGATGGTGTTCTGGCTAATGTTATCTGTCACCTGAGTACAAACACAAGTTTAAAAAGCTCATCCAAAACCTCCACCAGTGCTGTAGCTGCCTCTGGCACACATTGGGAACAGGAGAGTTCTGCTTCCAGATGGACACGTTTATCCAGAATCTCACACTTTGCAAGTCAAGGTGTGACTAGCAATAGAGCTAAACATGAAGTAAAAGAAATCTGTCCTGACTGCCAGCCCTTCCTCTGCCAGGAAACACCACCCACGGACTAAGAGCTCCCCCATTCCTCCACACGTCGGTATTTTACACAGCTGCCTGAATGACAGCAGCCATCAGCTGTTGCAGGCTCTACAAGGAGGCAGAGAATGAAAAACAGGGCACATATGCTTCACTGAGAACATTCCCATCATGAAGAGGGCAATGAAGAGTTCCACCACTCTCAATTATCTCTTATCACAGTCAAAACAATTCACAGTTGACCATCTCCAAAAGCTGATGAGTGGTAATTTATTACAACTTCCTCGTTCTTCACATCCTCACCACTCTGGTCTACTCCACACTTTCTGTCTTCCCTCAACCCTTCTCCCTTCCTTTCCATTTATCTGGGACTTCTTTGGTATCTTTTTCCTTAAAAAAACCCACAGCTGTGAATCCAACTGATACGTCCTCCTGCCTCTCCCCTTTAGCCCCAGTTGGCACCTATCCTACAGGATGAAAAGCGCTAGTCTGCGTTGGCATCACAGTTGGAGTCATCACGCATATTCTGGACTGACGCGGGCTCTCATTCACCATTTCTTTCCCCTTCTTAAGCTTCACACTGCAGCACTCTGCTCAAGTTTTGAAACAGTTCCATCCCTCAGATGTGGCTCATATAAGCCCTTAAGTTATTATACAGCTGTTAATTACTTACTGTCACCAAGCAGAGAAGTAGCTTCAGACACAAGCTTTTGAGGCTTTCAGAACCTTCTGCACAGAGGAGGGAGTCCAAGCTCTCCATGAGATTCTAAAGAACAACAGTCACATTATTGAAAAGTAGTCTTAAATTACTTGAAATGTTTTGATATAAAGCCTTCTGGAAGATTCAAGTAGCAAAGCACCAATATAAAGCCATGTTATTCCAGAATCAATAACAGAGCCATTACTACTGCTACACAGGCCATATTCATACTATTGCTTTTCAACACTATTTGTGTTAACTAAGCTTAATGACTACTGGTAGAACATCATTATCATTTTCCATGAGTTTTCTCTAGATGCAGCAGCACAGCTCCAATTAACAATACATATATAAGTTATGATTAAAAATTTGATAGGCAAACTACAACTTAATGTTTTCCACAAATATACTACAGATTGTATAGAGAAGAAAAACTGCTACTCTTGTGGAGAGATGAAAGATACAACAAGAATTCAGCTTCATCACTGGTTACTTTGTCATTTCCCAAACTCAACAGAACATCAAGTAAGTTTAAAACAGTACATGTGCTGATGGAGTGTGAGAACCCAGAGTATGACTCTGAGATAAAGAAAAAGATGTGAGGTTCAATACTAGGTGGTGATCACCCGTGACAGCCTTTTCTGGCTTTAAGGTTTCTCAACAACACTGACTACACAGAGTGGAACTAAAGAAAAAGAACGTGCTCTGTTATATTACTAACCAACCCAGGGACCCCAAATGTCTGTGCTACTGGCAGGTACAGAACTTCAGGATAGCTATTTTTAGTAAGTGGCTCAAATATTTCCCCCAAAAGCTGCTGCCTGGTAGACACACCCATGTACACTCACTGCCCTTGCAACACAACTGCTGTGCAAACTGCTTCTCTGCACTGCCAGGGCCTCACCTTCATACACAGCTCTGCCTTGTCAAAACCCACAAGCATGTTGATGATGTCAAACCCAGAAGTGGATTTGTTCTTCTGATGGACACCCCGAATCAATGCACACAAAGTCTGCAAAGGGAAAAACCAGAAGGTAAGATGTAAGGCAACACCTCCAACTCAATAGCAAAACCCACTGCATGATCCCCTCCTAGCACTGGCAGATCCTGAAATTAATACCACCAGCCTGGAAGCCATACATTTTGTCTGACCTCTCCTCCAGCTCTGGCATTTCTAAAAGGGATCTTGGATGCTGAAAATTCATAAAAATTGGAGAAGAATATATTTGTCCATATTTTTCTTGTTTGAGCACAAATTTCTGTTTGGTTACCACACTGCTATACCAGTTTGGACCAATAAACTGTATCTTTGTCAACAAGAAGAACCAATCTTCCCACCAAAAAAAAAAAGGCTCCAAGTCTATCAGGCAGCTTAATTACTGCTTCATTCCAAGTTCTTGAAGATACGCAGGTATCAGCACACTATGCTTCCAGCAGACTCCCTGGAAAATGTATGGGCAGCAAATTACTCATTTGTCCTAAGAGACAGAAATGTCTGGGGTGACTTTTGTCATCAGGCACTTCTCAGTCCTGTGAAGAAGGGAATGAGCAGGAATACAACCACCGTACTTTTAGATTCCAGCTTAAATTCACCAGTTGGAGGTAACTAGTTTCATGTGTAAAGCTGGAGACAAAACAGACCTGATGGAATTAGCAGACCTCTAGAACCACACAAAAGCAAAAATGTAAGGTAGACATCCTTTTTTTGGTTACTGTCAGAAACAGATACTGGGCTAAACACACCTTTAGTCATCCTGCTGATTCTCAAAAAAAGGATTGCTTAAATAAGTTTTGGCTTCAGGATTTCCACATTAACATAGTCTGATTAAGGGAACACTCTCCCAATTTGAGCTCAGGATGTGTTACCTGGTTCCTATTTACATGCACACAGCAGGATTCTTGTGACCTGCCCTAAGTTCTTCCAGGAGTCTGCATACAAGTTTAAGAATTCGGGGCTGGTCTAAGCTGTCTATGTAGCTATAACTACAATTTTAGTACCACACTTTCAAACTAATTCCAAAAACAACAATAAAACAATGCAAGATTGTACAGAGATGTAATATTCCGTTTCAAATCAACTTTTCCCAATCCAAAGTCTCCTACAGATGACTTCTTCAAACCTGAATTTCATATCATGTACTCCTACAGCTGAAATGCATTCTGCATACTCCTCAAACAAATGCATTCACCAAACTGTGAGAATCAGCTTGTGAACTAGTAACACCAAATATCAAAACTGAGGAGGGGAGTCTCCCACAGAGATACAGATACAGAACAGCAGAGCTTTGGTAAGGAACAACCTGAACAAAAATGGCTATGAATTCTGAGTGATAATTCTTCACAGCTTCCAATTAGGAAGTGTCCAGCTGAGGCAATTTCCTGCATAAATTTCACACTAACTTCTCCAGAGCTTTATTTCTTTTTTGACCCACAAGGAAATTGAAAAAGGCAGCTGAAATAAGGGAGAAGAGGTGAAAGTAAAACACAAAGCTACACAGCCTAAGTACTTTTGAGACCCCAAACCAACAGCCTGCAATGTGATCAAGCCCCTTTGATTGCCCATTGCCATCCACTTCATCCTCCATCATCAGATCCTCTTGAATTCTGAGACCGTCTATTGCTGTGCCAAGAGTAAAGAGACTATGAATGTTTGGAACCTCCACAGACAACAAGTAGCAACTGTCCTGCAAACATCACTTCTCAGTAACAAAGAAACAAGCCCAAGGTGATTGATACCAGCAACAAATACGTGGCCTCCTCAGAAGCAGAAAGACAGCGTTCCCTCTCCCAGTGTGGTACCTGTAATGCATTCACCACTCTGATTGGGTGCTCCTCACCCAGGGCCTGGATGCAGTGCTGAAACAAGCAGTTGATGTTATCTTTTATCTTCATTAATTCTTCCCCATCCAGAGCCTCCAGCTTGCCTTCTAGATACTCCAGGTTGACCTGTCAGGTTAAGAAGCAGTTCATGCACATTATACCATCACCAACACCTTAGAAACAGAAGTCCTTGCACAGACAGCCTGCCACTTTGTAGGCAGAACAGCAACAGGATGTCCACATTCTGTTACCTTCATGAGAAACAGCTCCTCCCAAAACCTAGGGTTGCATTTACTGGGGTCCTCTGTCTGTAAGGAAAAGAAACAGGCATGAGGGCAAAGAACTCATTCAGGCAGAATTTAAAGAAAGTCTTTATCATGGGTAGCTCAGAGTCAGCATCACCTGCCAGATGACCAAGAGGTCTCAAAGTGCAGAATTCTTGCTACAGAGATTCCCAAAAAAAAGAAGGACCAAGAGAAGCAGCTCTCAATTGGGATGCCTCTGTTTATTTTCTGAATTGTTATTTGAGAAATACTGGGAAAGCCATGACTTCCCATAGATGATATGGTTCTGGTAGGCAACAGGACATGGAGACATTTTGGAAGAGAGCAGAATACAGAGTTCTGCAGGACAACAGGAGAGCCTGGAGCATGTGCCTACACTGTGCAGGCCTTACCTTGAGGAAAGAAATCCACTGGAAAAAAACCTTCGGCATAAATTAACCAAGAAAATTTAACACAACACTTTAGAAAAAAGAGATGCTCAACTGCTTACCGTAAAAATTTCATCATACATCAACACCACTTTCTCTTTCAATGGCTTCTTGGAGGCTGAAGATTTCCGGAGCAGCCCACCTTTCTTCTCTGTTTGGGCCATGCTGGATACCCTGAAGGTAAGAACAGACAAAAGAGCTCAGAAAACTTGAACTTTTCTTCAAGGCATATCTGGCCTGCCTCAACCATGAAAGATTTTTTTCACTGTGCTGAAATACTAACAGTCTTTCACAAGCTGTAAGTAGGGGCATTTATAACTATACCAGATAAGAAATCAGATCAAAGGACCCATCTACTTCTACATCCCATTTCAAAGACATGCAGAAGTCCACACACAGGCAGAAACAGAATAAGCTCCTTATGGATAAATTTTGATTCTTCTCTATTAGAAACTGATTCATTATCCAGATCAATGCAGTTTACATTTAGAAAAGTATGTATTTTTTTAATCTCACTGGAGGAATTTTGATACTTGATATAAAACAGGTACCCAGTCTTTTTTGATGCTGGTTAAGCCTCAAAGGCATCTGGTGACAAGAAGCTCCTGAAACTATTTGAAAGTCTTCTCTTTTCTGTTTAATTTGCTGCCTACCAAAGCACTTTAAATTCTGCTTTTTGTACTCTGAAGTGGCATCCAACACAGGGAAGACCTCCATAAAGCACTCCTGCCACCCTTGTTCACACCTACCTCTGCACCTTAGCATCCTTGTCTGGGCCAGCTGCTCTGCAAATTAAGCCAGATAGGAACCCCAACCTCAAAAGCATCCCATGTGGTTCAGTTTTGGGAGGAGGATGCAAGACAGAGGACAGGCTTCAGAGGGATATTTTTTAAACCAAATTAATTTCATGATCCATTTGACAGCAAAGGGTTTTCTAAAACCACAAAGAAGTTTTACTATCATTAACTGGTGTCTTGCTGATTATACTATTAAAAAAAAAAAAAAAAGGAATATCCTTATTACAAAATGAGCTATTACACAAAGTAATGTGGTCCTGAGCCTTCTGTGAGAGACAACCTATTCCAGGGGCTGAGTCAGAATACACAACTTGCCACATATTCTCAACCTCATGTGTGATGCTACCGAGTGCAGCACTACTCTGACCTCGCAAATACACATTCATCTGCAATCACAGATTTTCCTGGCAAGCATCACAGCTTTAGCACTGTTCTAACCTCCTCCATCATCGCAGCATGTCAGAAGTACAGAGCAGAAAGGGAATGCCATCCCTTCTCAAATCCCTGAGCTCCCAGACTTTCTCCCATACCTCCAAAGGTAATTATACACACGGCAACAGCATCCCACACACAGAGCCTTGACTAAAGTCATGCTCCAGGAAAGCACGGGCAGGCTCTTGTGGTAGCTGCACTCAGCCATCATAAACTATACACAGAGGGGTAAGTTCACCATTCCAGTTAAGGACCCCAGAGCTTTCTGAGCTGGCAGCTATGGAGATAGCTTTGGATGTAGCCTCAATCCCAGACTGCCTGAACGCCCTCCTACAGGTTTAGACCTGTCTTTCCCTCAAAGACCAAGTTCCATCAACTACTGAATACCAGTTCCGTATCTCCCTTACATTCTTTCCACTGCAGACAATTTTGTAGCTGACTTATAACTATGCTCTCAACTAGGACTCTCAGACTTCCAGAGTTAGTTATTCAAATATCCATCCCTTTAGCCATAAATCTTGGTTCTAAGAGGCAGAAAAACATTTTCAGGCCTGGAAAAACAATTCTGCTGCAAAAGACCCTGCCCCAGGTGCAAAGGAAAGGAGCTTTGCCAGGATGGGAAAGGGTAGGAGAGAGAGCAGCAGATCTCACACCTGAAAAGCCAACATTTACACAGGCAGAAAGGTGTTGTTTTCCCACTAGAAAGGGAACCAGCTGGCTGGTTATGGGCTGGGGTGAGAGTGGAAAGAGTCCTGAGACACTCTGACAGAAGAAAGTTTAAGTTTAGCAACGACTGCACCATAACCTTCTTTTGGTAAAGACCAAAATTATTCCCATAACCTAGTAGGTCTATGCATCCAACTAAGATGGAAGAAGGTTTCCAACTAACAAACAAAAAAAGAAAACATTCAATCATCTTGATAGCTTCTCTTTTGGCGACTTTGCATTATTTTTAAACTGTCGAGGGAAATAAGACATAATTCTAATTAGAAACACAACTGGAAACACTGAGAAATCTATTACAAACCAAATCAAGAGTGATGTCACTTTTAGCCTAGGAACACAAATCTTGGGTAAGATTGCACAAAACAATTTTCCTAGTACAGTTGTAAGTTTCTGAACCTAAAACAGCTGCCAGCCCCAGCATACAAACACATCCATCAGTGTGGTTCTAATTGAATTACAGCTAACGAATCCCCATGTCAAAACTAATAAACTAACTCTCGGTGCTTCTAGGTCAGCATTCTCACATCAAACGTGTACGTGAATGGGAGGGGATCAATAAGCTCTACTTAGTCCCTGGATTTTCAGAGCTGTATTTTAACCCTTCTCTACATTTCCAGAAAGATGGAAAAATCGAAATACATCAAGATATAAAGAATGAGCACCAGAAGGATCACATGATCATGTGAAAATTCTAGTCTCTGTCAAAATGGGTCTTAGGATTCACATTCTCTCAACCAAAGATGCGCAGAGCACATACAAAGACAACTGCTAGAGGCAAGGATTAAATAATGTTCCTGTTTAAAATTTGCTATTCTACAAATGAGCATATGGAGGAGCAAAGAGAAAAACATAAACCATGCCTCTCATGCCAACGCTTTATTAGGCTGTGTTTGTTTCATGACCTATGATAATCAGGTCACACAAATGGTTTTTTCTTTTCACTTTATGCAATTACATTTTCTAGATGTCAAAAAGACAAACAGAAAACTGTGTTTTGCTAATGGAGACCTTCTACACAGCTGCAGAAAACAACAGTTAAATGCACAAAACATTTATAAATAAGTTGCAGAGGTGTCAAATTGTCGTGATGCCCTGACAGCTTATGAAAACAACAAAACTAATGATAATTAACAATTTTCCTTTAAACACCACATTTAAAAGGCATCGGTGCATTTTCCACATTTTACGTTCAAATGGATAATTTATTCTGTCAATAAGTCATTCCCATTAACACATGTTGCTAAGTGAATCCTGCTGTACTCACTGACTGCACAGGAGAACTGCCCCTCAGGGCCACAAGAAGCACACACATGGGGATTTTTAGAACAACAAATACTTTGCTGTGCAGCAGAAGATCCAAGATGCTTCATCTGGAACTAAAAAGAAAACTTGACAGAGCACAAGTCTTGGCATCTCAAAGGCAGGAAGATAAAAGCCATGGCAGACACGAGTTCAGGCAGACTCTTGCTTTATCTCTCATCAACCCCAGGATCAGCTGATCCAGTCAGGAAGAGATGAGCACATCCAACCATGCACCTCCTTTCTGTTTCACTCCAGAACTCATAACAGAGATTCCAACCAAACATATGACATTCCAATGAACACAGCTCTGTTAGCTTTTTGTTAGAGTAGCCACAGGGAAAATGAACCTGGTATTTTGAGTTTGAGATTTACTCAGACTTGTGCACACTGAGAAATGCTACACAATGCTCCACATTGTCACTCAGCTCCTGTACAGACTTATTAGTATTCCACAGACTGTCTTTTAACAGCAAAAATACTGTCAAGAGGATAACACTAATGCACATCTACACCATAATGACATCAGGATCCAAAACTTGTAACTTGTGTAATCTTCCATGCAGCCCATCAAGCACAGCACTTTGCATTCAATTGCCTTGGCTAACAAAGTTTTCAAGATTATAAATGCACATACACAACCCCCACACGCAACCAAACTTGAATAAGTGCATTTTTTTCAGTGTGGACCCCTCACAAAATATACTATAACACTTCTTGGCTAGACAAAAAGAATATAGATTATGCAAAATTGTATTTTCACATATGACTTACTTGGCAAACCATTTATTCACTACCTGGAAAAGGCTGTGCAAATGATGTGATCTGTATTAGTTTGTTAACGTCAAAGCCCTGAACTCAGTAAATTTTATAAAGACTCTGAATAAGAACTAAGATACTTCTGCTTTTGGAATCCAATGTCCCTTGACTTGTCAGAGCTACTAAGATTGGACTCACCTGTTCAAACATTTCAAAGCCAGCAATTGCCTCCTCCCTCCCTGAGTGTATGCACCTGGGGCTCAGTGTGATCATGCTTTGCCTTTCAAGGTGTTCTGCAGGTACATCACTCAGGATTAAAGGAAAGTTGTTCAAAAACTGCCTCCATCATGCAAGAGGGTGAGATAAACCCCCGTCTAAAAGTTAACTCACAGCTTCTAAAGCACAGTGTGTTAAGCTAAGCACTCATTAAATACTTCAGTGAAGTACCAGGAAAAACTTGCACTTAATCCATGTGATGAATCTGCAGAGTAAATACTGGACCTGAACAACAGGCAGTTACAACACAGGTCCCAGCACTCATCCATCGCTGGAAGCAACACACAACCTGCACCCAGCACAAGAATTTATGAATCCCAGTGCACAGGCAGTGCCTGGACCCAGTTCCAGCTCCTCTGTTAAAACCCCCAGGACCACCCATCAGCAGCCCACTATCAAAAACAAAGAGAGCAAGAACACATAGGGCTTTTTTCAAGGCTTTAGAAACCATCACGGCCAAATTTCTGCCACAAGCCCTTCTGCAGTTTATTCTCCACAAACTCTTGCATTGGCAGTTACAGATTGTGCAAGTACATCCACACTGCTTTTATGCTCCTTCCATTGCTTACAACTTCATTTGAATATTGTCCATTGGAATAAAAACTGCTCGAACTCTGCTTTCCTCTACAACTGTAAGGTGCTCAACCCACCAACAAGGGAAACAGTAAGACAAAGCCAAAGCATACAAGCTTTGGATCCAGGCTGCAGAATTTCCAGGTGCCTTCAGGCAGTACATAATGAGAAACATATTCTGAAGGCGTGCTGGTGACAAAAAACCCATAGAGATCCTACTTTTCCTGCAGTACAAAGCAACAACCTCCAGCACAGCCACAGTATATATATTTTTACTAGGAATTCCTTCTATCCCACTCAGAGCAGTCTACATACTTCTACACAGTGCAATCTAAAGTTACACCATTTATGACCCATTTTTTACCTCTTGAAAAAATAGAAAAGCAGCTTCCTAATGCAAACACAGCCACATGCTACTTCTTCCATTGCACCTGCTTTAGCAATGATATAAAAGAGTAACATTTGAGCTACGATTTTACACTTCATGCATAACTGCATTTAATTTCTATATATCCAGTTAAAATAACACCCAATCCATCAACTTCACACCACCAACTAGCTACGCTTCTTCCTGTCAAGTCCGTCCAGACAAGCACTGCATGCTTCCACCAGCATCTGTTCATGCCATTTTCATACAACGTAATTTTTTCATTTCACCCCACTTTCTCTCTGTATTCCTGGCTACCACGACCAGCTCTCATGTCACAAAATGATTTTGGGTTTTCACTTTTCAAGCACTTTAGAATCCATCCCACATAGTTTATCATTAAATATTCTGCACTGCCTTTACACTCCCACCTAAAAGCTCATGTCTCCTGCAGACTTTTTCAAATGCCTTCCTTCTGAAGAAAAACACTCCCCCTGCAACCTTCCCCTGCCCTTTTCCCATGGCTTCAGCTGGTGGTGTGGATCCAAAGCCCATGCTGAATACAGTGCAGCTGCATGATCTCGGCTCTGACTTCTGAAGTAGCTGCTATGCTCTAAGAAGCTGCACAGTAAAGTCATACCAAGATAAGAAAGGTGGAGCTGCAGAGTGGGTAAAATTTTTGAGATACAGACCATCAGCAGCGCAAGCACTCAGGAGTTAAAATGCAAACATGAAAAGGTGTAAGTTCAAAAAAAAAAAAATCAAAAATAGGGAGCCAGAATATAGCAACTCAGCAACTCTGAGCAGCAGAGGCTGATCCTTCCCCTCCCAAGGGATGTGTGCATGGCTGCCTGGTGTGTTAGCTGGGGGAGGGAGCAGATGAATGCTTAGCCCAGCAGCCCATTAAAGCCTGGCTGTTCCTTTTGTGCATGCTAGCCAATGACTGTTTAACTTTTTTACCCTGTATGTACCCTGCCCACAGTATCTCTTTGCAGACAGCAGAAGTGCCATAAATGACACAGTGGATCAACCTATTATCACTGGAAAGCCACACTGTTGTCCTTTCCTCCCCTCGAAATCTCTCTTCTACATTTTTGTCACATTTCCTACTAGAGCTCATACAGCTGGTGAACTGCAATCACCACGTATTGCAACGATTCAAATTATCTCATTGCTTTGCATATTCCACCCACCCGCTCACGCTAATTGGCTCTCAGCATACATTCGGATTACAGTCTCTGCTGATGAACAAACTTTGTTACAGCCACATACGCAACAGGGTTTGACCGAGGCCGCAGCTCGCTCATGCAGCAAGTGCCTGTGCCTTCAGCATAATAAACGCTGCAAGCTCCCACTGCTTTACCACTGTTGCTGCTCCCCTTTGCTTTGCCCGGACAAGTGTTCGGAGAAGGGTGAGGTGAACCAGACAAGGGAATGATCAGCGAACGCTCGTTCTTTTCCTCGCAGTTATCTCGAGCCCAAACCACCGGCGGCCGGGGACGGTGCGGCCCACGAGCAGCGGAGGGCTGGGCTGCGGCAGGCCCCGGGGCCTCCTCGGGCCGGCACCGGGGCACCGCGGCGCTACCGGCGGGCCATGAGAAGCACCTCCCTCTGCACGGGCTGCGTGCGGCCGCTCCCGCAGCTAACCGGGGTGGGCACAGCGAGCGGCCCTGGAACGGGGTGCCGGTACCCAGCGAGGCCCCTCGCGGCGGGGAGCGCACCAGCCCCGCGGGGCCCCCGGTGCGGCGGAGCCCCCGGTGCCGGAGGGGCAGCGGGGGCGCGCCCGGCCCCGCGGGCGGGGTCCCGCGTTCCCCNNNNCACACCGCGCAGGCGCCGCGCGTGCGCCCGCCGGTTCCCCGCGCGGCCGCGGCTCCCGCAGGCGGGGCGGGCCGGGCAGGCTCCTCCCCGGGCCGGCCGGAGTTTGGCTCGGCTCGCCCCGCGGCGACTGACACACGCACGGACACACGCACCCCGGTAACAAATGGCCCCGCCGTCTGCGGGGACCCGCGGGTCGCCCTCGGGACGCGGCCCCGTAGCCCACTCCGCACCGGCGGCGGAAGTAGGAGCGGGACGGCCCGCGGCGGCGCGGAGCGGCTCCGCCCGGAAACCCGCGGCCCCGTGACTGCGCAGCGCTGAGCGGAGCTGCCACTGGCCCGGGCCCGGCCCCGGCCCCGGTCGCCAGTCGCCGCCGTGGCAGGTGGGTCCCGGCGGGAGGGGGCCCGGCGTGTGCCCGGGGCAGCGCGGAGTTCCCTCGGGCGGAGCGGGGAGCTCCGGGTGCGGCCGGTCGCTGGGAGTTGCTGCTGCGGAACCGGCTCTCCGCGGGGGGAAGGCGTCCGTGGGGCCTCCTAGAGAGCCGAGGGAGCAGGGTGCCGGGGAGCAGGGTGTGGCGGGGCTCCGGGAGGGGACGGAGTGGCGGCTGTGGCTCCGTGCCCCAGCTCGCCCTGCCGCACGCTGTCGCTGACAGGATGAAGCTGCGGCAGGTCTCCGACTTGAGTGACTTCAGCCGAGGCCACTGGCTGCGGGAGTTGCTGTGCCGCGGAGAGGAGCCCAGCCACGTCCAGTCCAGCCCCGACGGGCAGCATCTCCTGCTCCTGCAGAAGAGCCGGCCGCCCACCCTGCCGCGGGTGGTGGCCTTCCAGCGCCACAGCATCGCTGGAGCCGACCTGGAGAGGAGCTGGCAGCCGCCCCAACCAGCCCCTGTGGGACTGCTCTTCCTGCAGAGCCCTGTGGTACCGGACTCCTGGGTACTGGCCGTGGTGTGGGAACACGGCCGGACCGAGGTCTGGCACTTTGTGGTGGCCGTGGGCTGGCAGCTGCTGCAGACCCTGGAGCTGTGCCAGGGTGCCCGGGCACGAGTCGTCTCCGTGTGCAGCCAGGGAGCCAGCCTGGTGTGGTGTGAGGAGAGGCCGCCGCTGGGTGCTCACTCGGACATGAGCAAGTGTGCCTTCAGGTTCTGTGTGTGTGCCCGTGCTCTGGAGGTGGGGGAGCAAGGCGTGCGGCTGGGCACTGCGAGGATAGTCCTGCACAACAGCCCCGAGTACCAGGTCCTGGCCTCTCCCCAACATGTCTTCCTAGTGCCTGCTGCTGCCGGCTTTGCCACCACTTCCAAATTCCTCCTCATCTGGCATCCAGAGAAGGCAGAGTTCACCATCACAGCCCCCTCTGCAGGCTTCATCCACAGCAAGGTGCTGCGCTCCAGCAGCGAGTCAGACTTCAAGAAGCTCCTGCTGGGTTCTGTGGGCCTTCTCTCAGGTTTTGTGCCTCTGGACATTCACACCTCCGCTGTGTCCAACAGTGGGGGTCTGCTGCTGGTGAGCACAAAGGGTTCTGTGAGTATCGTGGAGCCAGATGGGACACAGAGGCATATATTTGACCTGGAGGGCGGGCCCCTGGCCCACAGGAGTCTTGTCCAGCTGAAGACTTTCGGCAGCATCCTGGCCTGTGTGCTGGCTGGAGTACTGTACCTTGTCGACCAGAACAGTGGAAGGCTTGTAGAAAAGGAAGTCCTGAGCATGAAGGAGGTGCATTTCCTGGAGTCCCAAGGAGAGGAGGACGGTATCCAGCTCCTCAGTCAGAGTGGCATCTACAGCTTTAGCTTTTCCAAACCTGAGGACAGCAGCAGGCCTGAGCCATGCCTGGTGGAGATGGTGTTTGAGGAGGCCTGCAGATATTATCAGAGGAGGAGCCTCAGCAGCTCCAAGCTGACGGTGGAGAAGTTGAAGAAAGGTGGTACGTTCCAGGCTCCTGTGGTCCTCGCTGCCATCCTGCAGCATAGCCTCTACCAGAAGCAGAAGCCAGCCCGAAACCTACAAGACACTTACGCCAAGCTGTTGAATGCAGTGAGCCGGGAGCTGCAGAGCTACATGAGCCTGGAGCTCCTCAAGACTTGCGTGGTATGTGCCCCAGAGAGTGAGGTGGAAAGCTACTGCAAGGAGCTGGTGGAGCAGGAGGTCAGCCGCATTCTGCAGTCTGACATGGACAAAGACAACTTGGCCTATCTGAACTCTGTCTTTGCCTCCTTCCCCAAGGCTGCCTGGAAGGCCACAAGGAGCTGCCTGCAGCTGCAGCAGAATGGGGATGGCCTCTTGGTAGCCAGGGCCACCCCAGAGGTATGGAAGAAGGTCCTGTGTCAGCCACAGCTGGAGGAGGTGGGTCAGAATGGGATGGTCCCACTCTTTGAGCTCATTTGCAGCTCCTTCCTGATGTTCAAACCCAAGTGGTTGCCCAGCTTTGTGGAGCTGACCCAGCAGTACGTTAGCAGCTCTTGGTCATACAGCAGCAAGGAGGGCCCAGAGGGCCGGGTACCACTGTACAAGAGAGCACTGGGAGTGCTGGCCCGAAAGAACAAACACGGCAAGGCAGATGACGAGATGGAGCTGGAACTGCTGCTCTGCAGCAAGAGGCCTAAGGCCGTGCTGCAAGCTCTGCATCTTCTCATCCATCTGAAGCAGTGGCAGAGGGTGGTGGAGGTGGCAGAGAAGTTCTCCAAACTCAGCCCCTTGCTTAACAAGGAGATATTCATCACGCTGCTGGCTGAGTTTGCCCGGCACCGGGAGCTGGACCCTTACCTGGACAGGCTGTGGCCGCTGTGCCCTGCTGAGCTCACCGCCTCAGACATCCTCACCATGGTCCTGCAGCACCTCCCTCATTCCCAGGAGGACCCAGTGCCCTTCTCCAGCAAGGGGAACCAGCTGACTGTGGGCTTGCTTAAGCCACTGCTGCAAAGGGTTGTGCAGCGTCCCAGTGTCCAGGACGAGATGTACTCAGATGCCCTGCAGAGCAGCACCTTCCCCCCTCCCACCCCACCCCGAGAGCACAAAATCCCCTCAAAAGCAGTAGCTGATGATGTTCCTCAGCCATCTATGGCAAGGACTTCCTCACCCTCAGCACTGCTACAGGATGACAGTGTGTGAAGGGGGAAGGACAATGTTATCCCAAGCCCTGGGTGCACAAGGAAGGGAAATCCTACCTGTGTTGGCAATACGGAAGCCTGCTCCTTTCTGAAGCATCCCTGCAGCATCTCAAAGAGCCTGTTGGGTGGCTGAGGTTGGGGGATCTCTGAGCCAGGGCAGGCTTTCTGGTTACTCCTAGCAAGTGCAATTGTGTGTGTGCCAGTGGAGGAGCAAATGCCAGGTGCATTTGCAGATGAAAACACTGGCTGCACTACAAAACTACAGAACTGCTCCCTGCCCAAAGCACTTTGTTTTCAGTTTGTTTGGCTCCTTTCTAGCTCCACTTCTACTTCCCTGATCCTCTGGTACTGGTGGTGGAGTGGTAGGCAGTATACAGTCTTTCCCCACCCCATTCTCTGTTCAGTGAGCTCGGTGGTACCTCCAAGCTCTGCCTGTGAGAAACAGGGCATGTTTCCTGCAGCTGGGTCACTGAGTCCTGCTGCTCTTGGCTCACTCAGATGCTAAATGCCAGTGTGGCACAGCTCAATGGCACTGGGGTCCCAGTACACACGCTGGCAGTTGCAGCACTCCACACATTGTCTCGCCACAACTCCTCTGGGATCAGTCCTGTAGCTGTGACTGATTGCAGCTACTTAGCTGAAAAGAGCAGCCTAATTCCCTTATCTCTCTGTCCCAGACAGTACCCATACTCTGCTGAGCTGAGACACTTGCACCAGGCTATGAGAGCTTGGGGCTGGTCCTGCCTTTCCCTTTCCTTTGTGGGAGCTTAGATTATGCTGCAGGACACCCAAGCCCTCTGTTCCCATCTCCTCTACCTTTGCCCTTTGCATACAAAGGGGCTTTGTCAGGGTTGTCTGGCTCATATTGTGCCTCTGTTTGCAAAATCAATGTAACTTGAGAGCAGTTTTTGCAGGAAGATTCAGGTTCCAGCCTCTCAGGTGCCCAGTGCCTGGCCCCATCCACCAGGAGGGAGACCCTTGCTGTGGCTTTGCCCTTGCATTCTGGGCTCTGGTGTAAAGGAGCTGTTGCCTTGTTGGGCTGCGGGACATTCACCTGCATTAATCCTCTTGAGAGTGGTCTTAAGTGTGGAAGACAGACTCCTTTTAAAAATAAAGGTTCCTAAAGCACTGCTGAGGTGGTGGTGGATGTTATGAGGGTACACACCCTCAGGAAGAGGACAATCTTGTTTTGCCTCTGGTGAAAAGTGGCCAGGCTCATCTCTCTGGTGCTGCCCAGCATGGCTCACAACTGGTAGAGCTGGGCTCAGAGAGCATGCCCAGCTAGCTCGTGCCCTCTGTGGTACTCAGCTGCTTACCACTATGAAGCCACAGAGGCAGGAGTCTGCACAGGCAAGCAGGAGCTATGTGCCACAGGGAAGGGCCACCCAGGCCGTGCGTGGCTGTGGCTGGGCCCAACAGAGAGTTGAGGAAGGGAGGATTTTTTTCTCAAGAGCTGCAAATTCTCTATTTTTTAGGAAAACTAGCTACAGAGAGCACCTGGCTGGCTCAGCAAAATCCTGCTGCCAGTGTCAGAGCTGTCGTTGGAGATTATTGTTTGTGAAACCACTGTAAAGAGGTGGCAGAGTCTCCCCCAGAGAAGGGCTTGGCTGCGGAAAGTCCCTGTGGTGGAAAAAGGCCTGGCAAAGAGGAAGAGGAACTGCTGCAATGGTTCCCTAGAGACTGGCTGTCTATTGATGAGACCTTCCTTGGTGGGGGGTCCCTTGTGCTTTGGCCATGGGGCACTCTGAGTTTCCCTCTCACTCTGGCAGCTGCCACACGTGAGCAGAGGGAGCGGGGCCTGAAAGGAGAGCAGGAGAGCTGGTGGCATCCACTGAGGGCATTCTGTAATGAGCTGTCCTTGCCTCCTCTCCAGGCAGCTGGTGGCCTTGCCAGACTCTGCTCTCACCCACCTCCCAGGGCTGTTTGGGAGGAGGATAATGGATGGACCCCAACACCTCTTAGAGCCTCATGGCTCCAGCGATTGGAACACTGCCCTGGAGCTGCACTGAATGGGGAGCTGCTGAGAGCAAGCCCCACACCCTGGCAAAGGCTGTGCAGTCATTTGGGGGAATATCTTCATTGCCAGGGCTGGGTTTGGATGCAGGTTGCCACAGTAAATGAGGGTGAAGCTCCCTGCCTGCCAGCACTGGCTCTGCAGAAAACAGAGAGCAGGGAAGAGGCAATGTCCACAAAGCCAGCAAGCAGAAACTGAAGCCAGCAGCAGTCCTGTGTGAGCAGGCATCCCCGAGGCACAGCAAGGGAAGAGGAAGCGGGAACATGACGCAGTAGGGACAGCCTGAGCCCTGGGGGCAGAAGCCTCCATGTATGGGCCCCAGACAAACAGGAAGTAGAATTCTGGAGGCTGAGGGTCCAGGGCCAAAAACTGAGCTGAATGCTTTCCAAGGGGTTGCTGGATATCTCACGGCAAGAACCAGGAAGGGTGAGCAGCCCTGGGGGAAGCAGGGGCCAAAGCAATCTGAAGGACAGATTGAGCTGACTGATAGGCAAGCACAGGGCTCTCGCTGCAGTCACACTCTGCTGGGGGGAGACAGCAGGAGGTAAGGCCGGTGCAGCCTCAGATAAAGCCCAAAGGAAAAACTAGCAATTAGATCTGAAGGCAAGTGGGAAAAACAGTAAGAGATGCACGTAGTGGAGGGGGAGCTGGCCTGGCCCTCTCACTGTGCTCCAGAGAAACTTGGACTTTGCTACAAAGGAAATGAGTCAAGCTGCTCACGTATATCCCCTGTGCCTGACACAGCTTTCGGGATGGGCCCTGCACTTGCACCAAGGAGCAGCACAAAGCAATACCTGAACTCACCCCAAGGCTCTAGACCAAGTCACCCTGATTTATCTGTGCATGCAGCTTTTTCTGTGCAGAGCACGGTGTGTGCAGGGGTGGGCACAGGAAGTACCCATGGCACCATATCTTGCAGAGAGGAGGTGTGGGCTGCAAGCACCCCATAAACTCACTGGAAATCCACAGATGATACGTGCTAGAGTTGCCAGAGGGAAGTGCTTATGTGCTGGGGACAGCTTGGGGTGGCACTTCATAGACAGGAGGCTCTTTGTGTGGCTTGTCCCAGGGAGGGACCTGGCACTCACCCAGTCAGAGGTGCAGAGGGCTGCCCAGTGAGGGGAACATCACCCAGTCTTGGTGACACTGAGCAGTGATCCTGTAATCACCCACAGGCTGGCTGTGGGCAGAGCACACTTGGGAACACCAGAAAGCCCTGTGGTCCCAGGCACAGCTCAGCTTGTGCCAACAGTGGGGAACCCTCCAGCCCCTAGCCCTGCGTACTTCCATCACTGCTAAACCTGAGGAGCACAGCCACATCCCACAGTGCACACAAACACACCATTTATTGTTTGACATCAAAAATTACAGCCTTGGAAAGAGGCAGGTTCCCTGCAAAAATAAATAGTCACACTTTTCAAGTGAGGGGGTCTGTCCATTTCCTCCTCCATCTGCAGGTGATGGGAGCTAATGCCTTGTGGAAGGCCTGGGGATTTTGTAGGCGTTGAATGTTGGTGGCCTGCAAAACCAAGGTCACATATATCACCCCCAGCCACAGAGTGGGGCAAGAGACAGCTCAGGATGCACTGGGATGGTCAAATATCAACCCACTCCTATCACCCAGTCCTACAGGAAATAGGGACACAGGAAATGGACACAGCTTCCCCAAACCCACCACCTTGGGAGACTGGGACCAGCAGCACCTCCAGACTTGGGAGTGTGGGAAGATGATAGGGGACACCACAACTGCATGCACTACAAAAGTCTCACCTTCACAGCCACCCTGTGGTACCAGCACACCCCCTGGTCTGCACTCACCCTGGTCCCCACCCCCCTCCCTCTGTCCCCTGCCCCCCCTGTACCTACAGAGGCTGCCCCCCACCCCAAAGGGACCTGGCAGTGTAAGTAGCTTACATCTCAAAGTCTTCATTCCTAGAGGGGAGAAAAAAGAGGGGACAGTGTTAGTGGGGCAAGAAGATGCCTTATGGGACAGGACAGCATCTCATGGTGGAATAAGGTCTCCCATGGGTCACAAAAGGAGAGCACATGGGCTTCAGGGTGCTGTGGTCCCCTCCGTCCTGGCTGCCTGATGTGAACAGAGAGCACTGGCTCTTAGAGGCCCCCAGAGCATCAGTGCTCCTTCCCCAGGCAGGCAGAGCAGGGCCCCATGCTCAGCAACACCCAGCTCCCTGTGCCTCAACTTGAGCTCCCCGAGGTTCCTGGGCAGCTGAGCCCATGTCTCCAGCCAGCTCAGAGGGGTGGCAGGAGCTGGAGAACCCTCAGCACAGCAGCTGCACTACAGGGCCACAACATAGCCCTCAGGAGCTGGAAATCCAGCTAGAAACTGCTCACTACCCTCAGAGGTCAGTGCCTGTGCTGGTGGTGGAGCTGCCAGGCAGAGTGTCCCAGAGGGACAGCCCCAGGACACCGGTGGCCACAGGCATGTGAGCAAGCACTGCACCCTCGTGGCAATGCCACCAACCATGCAGCACACTGCATTCTGCACAGCATCCAGCTGTGCTCCCACGCCAGTGCTCCAGCACAAAAATGGTGCAAAACAGAGCAAGTTAGGTGGTGGACTCGAGCCAGGCTGTGGCTGCAGCCCTGCCAGGCTCCTTCCACCAAAGGGAATGCCCCTTTATCTGCCCAAACAGGAGGTTCAGAGCAGGCAGAGAAAAGCTCCAGAACATCCCCATCCTCAGAGGCTGAGGGCCCTAAGTCACCTCTCAGATTCTCCCCAGCCCACATTACTTTAGCATGAGCCCCACAGGCTACCCAGGGACATGAAGGAACAGGTGGCAGGGGGACCCCAGACCCAGTGTAGTCACAGGGGGTGGGGCTGCTCCTCACCTGTACACATCAGCAATATCCATGCGGCGGTAAAACTTGGCAAGTCTGACAGCCAGGATGACGCTGGGCAGCAGGAACAAGGTGCACCAGCCCAGGCTGAACCAAAAGGCATTCTGCATAGGGTGGAGGAAGAGCCATTAGGTCCAGAGAGCAACTGGGAGAAACTCTTTTGCTCCCAGCACTCCCCAATGACCACCCACTCCTTCTCAGAGCCTGGCCTTTCCTCTTAGCCACAGCACTTTGCTGGGCAGAAGCTGAGCATCCCTGATCCTTCCCTGCATCCCTGATCCTGTGCATGAGGAGGACAAGAGGACCTCACTGCCACCCCACACGTGTGTGTCACTCTAGACATCACTGCCCCACTCACCACAGAGTCCATGATATAGTCACAGCCAATGACCTCCACATTATCCAAGGACTGAGCTATGGGCTTGCAACGTGCCACATCTTCTCTCACCTGGGGACATGGTGGGGACAGCATATATCAGCATCCACCAAGCCTTGCAGCTCATTCTCCCCTTCTCTCCACCTCACTAAGCTCAGCTTACCCTGCTCTTGGCCCACGAAATGTAGGTCTCAAAGAAATCCAGCAGGTGCTCCAGGAAGGCCAATGTCTCCTGGAGGGGCAAGCACAGAGTGGAGATGTTGCACCACCAGCCCCCTCCATGCCCCATGTCAGGACCAGGGCTCTCGGGCCACCTCAGCCCAGCAGCAACAGGGCTGGAGGCTTCACCCCACCCCAGTCCCTTGCCAGGGGTGCCATAAGGGAAGGGGGCACCCAGGGGTGCAGGAGATACTCAGGGAAGGCAAACAGGATGAGCAGCCAGACAAGGTTTGGCTTCCCTGTATAGAGGGAGGTCTTGGTGAGGGGGTCTGGTCCGTGTGACCTGACAGCAGGGCAAGGCAAGCTCACGTTCTTGATGATGTTTGGCATCTCCCTCTCCAGGAACTCCTGGGTTTTCTTGGCTTTGTCCAGCGCAGCTGCTGTCTGTCCCTGAGGTGAAAGGTGCTCTCAGCACTGTGATCTAAGTGGAGTCTCTGCACTTCACCAACCCTGCACAGCAGCACTCCCTGGGGCATAGATGTGGTGTTCCCAGCAGTGACACGCTGGTAGTGCCAGGTACCTCAGGTGGAGGGAGCCTGCACCTGCCAGGTTCCATGGCCTCCCTCCCTCTACCCCCATGAATAGCCCCTGCAGCCCCCAGACTGCAGGTTAGCCCCACCACCTCCACTGCAGGACCTCGAGGGTGCTTTGCAGGGTGCCTGGGACTGGCATGCACTCCCCTTGTGCAGCTTACCTCTAGCTGGACAGCCCCACTCTGCACTGAGTAGATGCTCTCCTTCAGACTTTGCTGAGGACAGAGAGAAGGGGGATCAGAGGTGCAGACCCCACAGCTCAGACAAGACCTGCCAGCAGGCTCTGAGCTCTAGGGAAGCCCAACCCAGCATCCCCAGGACATGCCCCAGCATCGCTCACCAGTGGCCCAGAGAAGCTCTCCTGCATCTCCTTTTCCAGCTCCCTCAGTGTGTGAGCATTATCTTCCAGGCTCTCCTTCACATCTGTGCCCTGGGAGAGCTGCAGTCAGCAGTGCCCAGCTCTGTGCCTCCCCTCAACACTCAGGCAGGCACAGAGGAGCCCAGTAACCAGTGGCTTTGGGGACAGGGTGGCTATGGCCCTGGGGTATCATGGTCTCTCACCACTTTTCCTGCCAGCTGCTCCAGCTCTGCAGCCAGATCCAGGAAGCTTCCCTGGGTCATATTCTGATCCAGCTGGAAGAGGCAGAGACAGAGCCATGAGAATAAGGAATGGGGTGCACAAGGGGAGCCATACCCCTTCTTTGTGGGACAGAGAAGAGCCAGAGCCTTCTGGGCAGAGGATGTGTCTTGTTACCCTAACGGGTTACACAGATGGCAGAGGACTCTCACAGCAGCAAAAAGGAGAGTGCAATAGACCTCCTCAACCCACATCCAGCCCTTCCACCCTGATCCCAAGACCAGGCTACACCCAGCACACCTGCTCCAGGGTGAGGGTGAAGTTGGGAGGCTGTCCAGCCTGACTAGCACTCAGCAGCATGTCTTTCTGGCTCTGGTTGAGCAGGGAGATGGGGCTTAGGGTGATGTTCATCTTCTCAAAAGCCGTGGAGATGTTTCCTGTGTACTGCCAGAGCAAAGGGGGCCATGATGAGACAGGTGCTGGCTGCTCACTGTCCCTCAGCCCTTGGTCTGGATTCCTGCCCTCAAGACCCTGGCACCCCCATGCTCACCTGGCTGATATTCAAGAGCTCATCCAGGGACACGCTCTGGTCCAAGTGCAGAGTTTGCCACAGGGAAGCATCTTGCTGGCACTGCCTGCAGGATGGGGGCATGGGGTTTAAAACAGGGCAGGTGAGGGCCACCTTCTCCCAAGAGCACGTCCTCACCTGTGCAGCTAGGTTGCACCTTGCTCCTTCCCTGTGATCAGTGCCTACCCACAGCCTGGGAAGGTGGGGCATGCTGCCCTGCTCCTGGGGATCATCTGAGGGCATTGAGCAGCTCTACCCCCACCAAAGACACAGTGTCAGGGCTGGCACCCACCTGTATATCTCTGAGAAGTTTGTTGTGTCACCCTTCAGGCCCAGCAGCTCTGAGAGATTGAAGTTAGGGATCTTGCCAGGGGTATCGAGGAGCTAAGAGCAAGGAAAGAGATAGAGAAACTAGACATAGTGCAGGGCAGGACACTTTGAAAGAGCATCCTAAATGGCTAGTGCTGCCTCTGCTCCACCAGCAGCCCTCATTTAGGAAGCAGTATCTCCATGCAGTTTCCCCACAGCAAGCTTACCTGGAAGAGCTGCTGGTTGTGCCAGGACTCACAGAAGAGCATGTAAATGTTCCCCCCTAGCACGAAGACGATCATCACCAGCAGCATGAGCAGCCAGTAGAAGATGAAACTGAAACCAACCCCTCTGCCAGGACAGAAATGCCATCAACACCAGCAGCCCAGTGGCCCAGCACTGATGCTGGCATTGCCCCCAGCTCGCAGAGCCCAGGAGCTGCACACCCCTCACCCCCACAGCTGTGGGAACACCACCATTCCCACAAGCTTGTCTCTGTTCTGCCTTCAGACCCCAGAGCATGACCAGGATCTACCCTGGAGCTTGGATTCCAGAACAGCTTCCCACAGCTTTGCAAGCCAGCACTCCCCCGCAGAAGTGCAGGACCCACGCACACACTGCCAGCCCTCGCCGTCAGGGCAAACGGGCTCCCCTCAAATGCCTCTCACCAGCACCACGTTTGACCTTCAATTTATCACCTGCATGAGGAGTCACCACGGGGCTGGCCATTAAGCTGCAGTAAAATGATGATTTAGGAGCTCGAGCATTCCCAGGCCAGCCCTGCCCACCCATCCCACCGCTCCCACACATGTCCTTGGCAGCCAACTGAGCCTCACGCCATGAAGAAGTTCCCGCCAGCATCGGAGAGGCTGCTGCGCTGTGTGGGCAGCACACCTTCCTTCAGCCCCAGGGGCCCCAGCAGCAGCCCAAAAACATTGCAGAGGACCACCAGCAGCACTGTGCAGCACAGGAGGGTACACACGATCAACCTGGGGCAAGACAAAGGGCGGGAGTCAGTCAGCAGAACCTGGGACCCTGAGCAGCACCCTGCAGCACACTGGCTGCCTTCCTAGGGAGGAAAAAAGGTCCCAGACACCACAGCAGGGAAGGGGCATGTGTGTCTGCAAGGCACGGCTCTGACTACCTTGGACCCACAACCCCACCACCCAGCAAGCCCCCACCTCCAGCAATGAGAGGAGCAGGAGTTTTAAAGCTCCCCAGACAATGGAGCCGGGGCCGGAGCCCCTCGCCCACCTGAGCCCATCCCAGGCGATGATCGGCTCCCTGTACTCCTCCAGCACCGATGTCGCATCATTCACAAAGGCCCCAACTTTCTCCTTTGCATCCAGGAGCGGCAACCCTTCCTGCAACCTTCTGATCTCCTGCCTGACGAGGATCAGCTGGTCCTGGCTCTCTGCAAGGAATGGGGACACGCTGACATTGCGAGGTCCTGCAGGGCACCGGGGACTCAGAAAGGATAGGAAAGGAGCAGCCATGGCCAAGGATGACATTGGCAATGATGGCACCTGGGGACAGCCAGGGCTGCAGGGAAGAATGGCTTGAGAAGGGAGGAGGGAATCCTAGGAGAGGGAGAAGTCAGCACACAAAGCCCTGCTTACTTGCCACCACTTCTTGGGACTGCTCTTGCACCTTGTCAGGGGTCATGCCCAGTGTTTTGTTAACCTGCATCCAGGGAAGCACAGCATGAAACTCATATCCCTGCCTGCAATCCAGGGCTGAGCAGCACATCCCCTTGTCCCCACATCCTAGTAACACATAACAGCCAGGCTCCCCACAGCAGCCAGTCCACCCTACCAGAGTGCAGCGATGGTTGGGACAGTGAGCAGACCTCAGGCCAGCCCTTCCCTCGGTGTCACACACCGAACTCCTGACAGAGCTCTTCCCAACCCACGCCCTGTCAGCACAGCCCCGGCAATTGCTGGAGCACCCAGCTTTGTGCCTGGGTGAAGGGGACACCCCTTACCTCCTCTAAATCAGTCTCTATGTTTGACTCAGAGACCTCACGCAGCGCCTCCAGCTGCTGCTCCACACCTGGGATCTGCGGGGAAGAGCCTGGGGTGAGGGAGCTGTGGGGGCAGTGGCTGCTGGGGCTCCTCACCCACACCTTGCCCCTCCTCACCGTGCTGAAGTTGGCAGTGAAGGCGAGCCCATCCAGGGACACTTGGCTGCAGGGGGGGCCACATTTCTGCAGGGTGTTGTTGAGCCTGTCCCGCAGGCTGACCAACCACTGGCTGTAGTTGCTCTGCAGCTCCTCGAGCTCTGAGCGGCTGATGGAAATGTTGGCAAAGGTGTCCTTCAGCATCTCCATCCCTGGGGAGATAGCGGGGAGCTCAGGGCCTCATCCTGCCACTGTGGCAGGGACTCGTTCTCATCCAGCTGAACTTTGGAAACTCATGAAAAAATGCAACATAGGGGCACCCCCAAAGTCATGGCACTTGTCCCAGGGTGTGGCTGGGAGGCCAAAGGGATCCACCTCCATGGGAGCCTTACCCAAACATGCACCCACACCATCTCTTAATTGCCCTGAGTCCCTTGCCAGTCTCTCTGGGATGGGGCCAGTACCTTGCAAGAGGCTCTGGAGAGACCCCAGAGCCCCATCCGTGCTGCTCCTGATGCGTGAGGCGATCATACTGCCCAGTTTGGGCCCAATGTCTGCAGAGATGGGAGAGGTGGTGTCAATAACAGGATCCCTGCAAGGTCCTGAGGCTTACAGAAAAGCTGGTGAAAAGACTGACACCACCAGCACCCCTCCCTCACCCACTCCCCAGGTGGGGGAAATGGGGATATTCCCACTCTCCCAGCACCTGCATCACCCTTCCCAGAGAGGAGCCTGAATAGGGAAAAGCAGAAACTGGAGCAGAGCTGGAGCTTGGAAGAGCCTCCAGACCCAGTCCCTTTAGACATCTCCATAAGTACAAGCCCAGTGGTCCCCAGGATCAGCAACCACCCACAGGGCAGAAAGGTAAGCCCACACAACAGCCCCACTGCCCAAGAACCCCCAGCCCTGGAGCAGCTGGCCACAGGGCTGTGGGGATGCTCCAGCCCCTCCTATCGCACACCCTCACCCTGGAGGCTGCGGTTGGCATAGTCCAGCGGGACATCGCTCTTGTTGATGATAAAATCAACTTGCTGCAGGGACAGAGATGTGGTGTCAGTGAGGATGGGGACCTTTCTCTGCTGCCAGCCCCTCTGCTGCCCTTCCCCGGTGGCCTGTTTGGGCTGCTCCTCCCGCCTGGTCCCTTGCCCTCAAGACGTGGCAGGGGGATCATGCATGCCTGGGGGATGGAGGCCAGGTAGGTCTGGACATCATCCAGAGTGTTGTTCACATTGGGAAAGGTGCTCTTCACAGCCTGGGAGAAGCGGGTGTTGCTGATGAGGGCACAAACACCACCAGCCCTACAAGGGAAGGGTGGCAAAGTGAACATGTGGGGAGCTCAGTCCCAGTGCTCCCCGCCAGTACCCTCCAAATCCACCCACACAGCCCCCAGCCTGCAGGGTCCGGAGCACACCAGTGACTTCTGCTTCCAGTGCATCCCAGCACATGCCCTGCCCTGAGGGACCAGAGAGGAGGGACGCAGGAAACTGAGGCACGGCAGAGCCCGGTACGCCGTGGGGAAGCTGTCGGGAAAGGTCTGCACGGTGCCAGGGCGCAGCCCCCCGGGGCCAGCTCCCCACCGCCGCTGCTTCCTCTCCTTTGTCCCGCCGTGCCGGGATCTACTCGTGAACAATGGCAGTTTCCTGGCACGGCCGCCAAGCGCCGGCATTTCCAGCCACCCCTGGGTTCCATCCGGAGCCTCCCGGCCGGCGCACTCACAGGAGGAAAGCGGAGACCAGCAGGACAGAGGCCCAGAGCGCCCGGCGCCGGCAGCCCATCCGCCGGCCCTGCTTCTGGTACATGCGGCCCCCGCAGTGCCCGCAGCAGCGGCAGCAGCAGAAGCAGCATCCCACCAGCGGCACGAGGATGATGAGGACGACTCCAATGGCCACGCAGACCAGGAAACCCAGTTCGTAGAGCAGCAGCTGGGAGAGGAAGATTGAGAAGCAGCATAACACTGGTGCTCCCGAAGGCCCCTCAGCTCTGCACACCCTGTCCAGACCCAAACAGACAAAATGGGTCCCCCCAGGGAGCAGAACGTGCTCCCTTGCTGCTGCCCAGCATCCAGGGCTCAACCTCAGAGCAGCACCCACCAACATCCCCCAGTCCACGGTGGTCTGGGGCTGCCAGCTCTCCACCCCAGCTGCCTGCTCACCTTGCGGATGTCCTCCTGGCTGAACCCGTTCTGGGGCTGCCCAAAATTAATCAGGTCTGGGAGACAAGAAGCACAGAGGGCTGTGAGGAGGTGCTGGGCCCCGTGGAGCTCTCCAAGAGGGCCCCAGACCCTGCTCACACCTCCCAGCCCAAGGCATCACCTGAGTATGGCATTTTTCTCCCTTGCAGCTGCCCTCCCCAACCATTACTTCATGCAGCATTTTTGCACCCAGGAAAAGTGCTGCAAGCCCCCAGGCTCTCTGGGGTTCACAGAACAAGGAGTTCCTCACCACCGTGGGCATAAGGGACACTGCCCTAGGGCTGCCCTCCTGCAGCCCAGCCTGACGCAGAGGCCCAAGGGCACTGCCAGTAATGGATGAATACTGGGGCAAAGGCCCACTGCCACGCTGCCTCTTTCATTCCCAAGGCTATCCCTGCCTGTGCCACATGCCCTCATTACAAGCCTTGATGGCACATGGGGACACTGATTGTACCCTGGTGTCTATGTGACACAGGTCCACAAAGCAGGACCTGTGCGGCCAGCCACACCTTTGCCAGCATGTTGATGGCAAGCAAGGGTTGAAGCCAGTGAAGGAAGAAACACAATTGGCAGTACCCAGAGTGGCATTTCCCTCCAGGTGGGCAGCACGTACCCCATGAATATGGAGCAGCTGTAGGGTCCCGGTATCACCTGTGCAAACCTGCAGCTGCTTCAGGACAGAGCTGTGACAGTGACAGGAGCAAGGGCAAGTGCTGGGGCACACAGTGCTGCCACTGGCACCAGGACACACTGCTCTTGGTGGCCAGCAAACAGAGAAGGCTCCAAGGCAGGCAAAGACTCTGCAGGCAGAGTGGGGTTTGCTGTGCACATTTTTGGAATTAAGATACCTGGAGGGAGGATGGGGCAGAACTCCCCAAGGTGGCACTACCTCTAACCCCTGTCCTGGGGCCCAGCCAAGATAGCCCCACAGATATAGGACATGAGCAGGACACAGCTGGCAATCCTTGGGAGCCCACTGCTGATTACCCCGGCCATTACAGCACTACCAGCCCCCCGCCGCCCTGCACTCACCTATGGGCAGGGCGTGTGGCTGCACCAGCCGCAGGAAGCCGTGTGCCATTGCCACCATCCCCGGCGTGCTGCTCCCCGGCGCCTCGGGGCCAGGCCCGTACGTGGGCTTCGAGATGTTCCCCAGCTCCATGGCAGCAGCTCCTCTGGACACCTGGGCACCGAGAGGAGCTGTCGGTGTCGTCGGGGCACGGGACCACCCACCCTGCCCTGCCTCCTGCCTCCGACCAGGAAATGCAGAGAAAAAAAATCAGGCACCTGCCCGCTCCTGCCCGGAAGGAAAGAGCTGCGGGAGAGCCCCGAGGAAAGATGGGTGCACCCATCCCCACCCTTGTGAGCAGTGGGGTGGGTAGCCAGGCAGGAGGTGACCACGAGGGACCGGGGGGCTGTGGGGGATGAAGCGGATTCAGAGCACTTACCCTGTCTTCTGACACCTCTCTGCACCCACAGCTGCGGCAGGGTCCGGCCGCAGCGTGCCAGCGCCCAGGTCTGTGGTTGGTTTAGGTTTCAGCGGTGGTTGCTGACAAGCTGTTTGCCGGGACAGAGGGCGATGCCGGGATCGCCTCACCCTGCCCCTTACGGCTCTTGGCACCCGGCCGCCTCGGGTCGCCTCTCTGTACTGGGGTCAGGGTCACCACCGACCTGTCCCGACGCAGGCATGGGGAAGAGTCCCTCTCCTCCCTCTCCGCTAAGCTCCCCTGCCCGTGCTGGTTTCCTCCTGCCCCAGCCCAGGAGCTGGGTGGCCCGGGGTGATCCCCAGGGCAGCCGTCCCGCCCGCTCCGCCCCACACCATCTGCATCCTTTCGGGATGGGGTGCGTTGAGCCGTTCAGAGTTTCAACACAAACCAGCTGTAGCCACAGAAGCAGGTTTTGCATCTAAAAACCTTCCGAAATGGGGCACTGCGGCAAATTCGGCATTTTTCACAAGCGTCCCGGTCCCCCAAGCGGGGAACAGCCTCAGGGGTCCCCAGACAGCATTTTTTCCCAAAGGCTGGGTGCCCGCTCGGCTCCATCCCCACTCCCCGCGGAGCTTTCCCACGCCGCGTGGCTCCATCCCCCGCCCCGCCGCCGGAGCTCCGGGAACCGCAGCCGGAGGCAGGAGCGGGGAGGGGCCGCAGGTCGCTCCCGGTTGTGCCGCGGACGCACCCGGTGGATGCGGGGCAGGTACCCCGGGGGTCACGTCTCGACAGGCGGAGCTCCCCAGCTCGGCACGGCTCCGCACCGAGCCCGCGGCGCGGGGGCCCCGGGAGCTGCGGGGAGGGCCGGACAGAGCCGCCCCTTCCGCCTGGCCCGCCGGGGTCTGTCCGGGGCGGGCGGCCGCGCCGGCCCCCTCTTCTGCCGAGGGGGAACCCTCTGCCCCACCCTTCCCGCTGCACCTTGGCACTCCTCCTTCACCCGAGAGGCACCCCTGCTCCTGGCCCCAGCCCATCCTGACATCCTGCATCTCCCCCAGAGACCCCCGCCCTGTCCCGCATGGGGGAGCCGGCCGCCCACAGGCCCTCTGCCTGGGGATGCTCCCTCCATGTCTAAGAGAACCAGCACTCCCCCCACACTGCCAGAGCCGCTGCTGCCCCTCCAGCAGCACACCCTGCCATAGCACCCCTGCCGAAAGCCTGCCCCGCTGCCCACCCTGCCCCTATGCCAGCCCTCAGCTGTGCCCTGCACCCTCCACCTCCTGCCCCGAAGTAGCTGGAGCACCCAGCATGGTCCTTGGCCCTTGCCCCGTGTCCCTGCTTGGGACACCATGGGCTTTTGGACAGGGACCAGCAGGGACTCTGGGTGAGCTGTACCTGAATGACCTTTGCATGGGGAGCTCCCTGGCCCCTCCAGCACCCACGGCTTTCTCATGGCCATGTCCCAGTTACTGCTTAACTTTCCTTGGCACAAGCAGGCACCACTGCACTCTGTGACCTCAGGTGGAGGTGGCCCAGGGAGGAGGGCAGCCCTGCTTCAGGTTTTCTTCCCATGGTCTGGCCCATGCTGGGTGCCAGTGTCATGTGGGACCCTCTGGCACAGCACTGGCACTGGGGAAGAGCAGCAGAGGGCACAGATTCATCCCAACAAAAAGAGAGGGAACAAAAAGCACAGTGAGTTTCCCACAGCACTGGAGCTGATGTGAGGGGAGGTTTGGGAGCTTCACAGGTACCCTTGGGCTTTCCAGGTCAGACCTCAACCCTGAAGTGTTGCCTTGGAGCCCTCCAGCAGCTCTTGCGTGCGTGTGCAGGATGCAGCCAGGCAAATGCAGGATCCACCAGAGATGGCAGGATCTGCTCCTGCAGGGCATTGCTCCCTTCCCACCCAGGGCATCCCACTGAGCCTGCCAGAGCTCAGGGCACATCAGAAACAAGGGTATTTATTGATGCCTCAGCTCTGTGTGCCACACCATGGGCTCACCGGGGCCACCCTGCCCTCACCTGCCCAGCCATGAGCTCCTACCACAGCACCTGTGTCCTGCAGCCCCCTCGACCTCAGCACTGTCATAGCCTGGTGATGTCCCTCACTGCAAATGTCAACCCAACCCCTGCTCCTACTTTGAAGATACAGGCCCATCCTGCTCTCACCCTCTGCTGCATCAGCCCTCTTTTATGGGCATGGTTTCCCCCATATCCCTAATAAAGCTGGCACAGGGCACTCCAGCTTCTGGGAGGAGATTGTTACAGTCCCCTGTCCCTCCTCTGCTCCTTCCAGGACACCTCCATGCTGCTCAGCTGCTCCTGCCCTGCTCCCAGGCAGGACTACACGGCCCCCACTGCTCCCCAGGGAACGTGCCCATCACCTTGGTGTCTGGGCAGACCTCGAGCTGCTTGTTTGCTCTGCCTTGGGGACTGGGCCATTTCCCAGCAACCCTCTGCCTTACCCTTGCTGGGATTTCTGCTTTCCGTGGCATGGCAGGGAGCCAGCTGTGGCGTGCCTGGGAACGAGCAGGCAAAGGCAGGCCAGCATCATCCAGGGAACACAGTGAGCCCTGTGCCCACACTCCCTGCCAGGGTACCAGGGACATAAAGAGACAACTCCCCTCTGCCTTGCCCACGTCAGCCTGGTCCCATGTTCAGATGTAAATGATCAGGACAGCTTCAAACCGAAAAGTCATTTTATTGGTACCATACATGACTCATAAATGGCACAAACTATGGAGGGGAGGAAGGAAGAAGAAAAAAAAAAAAAAAAAAGAAACAAAAAGGCATTACAGTGTGCCCATGGCAGTGAGGGCTCTGCACCCTCCACAGCAGCTGTGCAGCATGGCATGGAAAATCGTACCTTAACTGTGATGCAGAGCCCCCCCTCCCTGCCACACTGGGATCCCACCCCCCCTGCAAAGGGGCTGTGGGGACCCCTGTGCCTGGGGGTCTGAGGGGCCGAGCCCTCCAGCTCCAACCTGCCCATGGAGGGGCCCAGGAGCCAACACAGGCATCTCTCCAGGGATCTTCAGCTTGACATCACACCAGGGCTGACTCAAGGCTCTGTCTCCCTGCCCAACCACAGGGACAGCAGCAGGAGAGGACACACAGGGTTTCCCCCACTCCATCTCAGCCAACCTCCTGCAGTCTCACCCACGAGTGGGCAAAGCACAGGGTGCTGGTAGCACCCCTCCAGCAGCCAGAGCCCCGGGCACGGCAGGCCCTCAGTGACACCCTGACAGCCCCAAGCCCCATGGGGCAGTGGGACACAGACTGTGGGATCCCCAGCACGGAACTGGGGGGTGTATGACAGAGAGAATGGAGTGCACCCCTCACTCCCCCAAACTTCAGGGCTGCTCTGCCTGCCCCAGGCTCCCTTACACACGCAGACAGACACACAGACCTCTCGCACACACACTCTTACACACACTGATACCCCCACTAGGGCAGTCCCCTCCCACAGCAGCACTTGCTGCAACCCCACCACGGGGCATGCCAGGGGGTTCCCACAGGCAGCCCAGACTCCCATCTTCCCCCAAAACCCCACTCCAAGGCTGCTGGGGTGAACTAGTTAGTTAGCACAAACACCCTCCCCCGGCACCTCCCATCTTCTCCTTGGAAAAAGCCTTGGAAGGGATTATTTTTTTTCTCCTTTTTTTTTTTTTAAACCAAAAAAAAACCCCAAAAATTATTACTTTTCTCATCGTTTCCCCTAACATCAATGGAGGCACCTGCTCTAGTGATAACACATTGAAAGAACAGTATCGTACACACTGTCTACAGCGCGGAAATGTACAAGCACGAGGTACACGAACCCGAGGGGGGGAGCGGGGACAACAGCACACAAGATTTACATTGAGAAGAGAGGCGGGGGGCTGGCCCCCCGACCTCTGGAGGGATTAGAAAGGAAGTCTGCAAAGTCTCTCCTTGGTTTGAAGCTCTCCGAACTGGATATAAAACGAGACTTCCAAGAGAAGAAGCCTGTACAAAAGTCAGGACAGGGTGAAAGGGTTTGGGACGGGAGGGGGGAATGGGCAAGGGGGCTCAGGGGGTATTTTCCCATTTTTTTTTTTCTTTCTCTTTTTTAAACTTACAATTTAATAATATTATTTTTTTTTCTTAAAAAAAGACAAAAGTAGGAGGTACCAGGAGCCAGGGGTTCCAAAGGGGCCCCAGGCAGACTCACGCAGGGTGGAGGGAAACACAGGGGCTGCAGGCAGGGAACAAGGGCACCGGCTGCTCCAGCAGAGCCCCAGGTCCTCCGTGCCCCCCCCAGCCCCCCACCACGCACTTCCTATATACAAGAGTCCCCCCATGGCTGTGCTGCGCTCTCGCTCTGGGGAGCGAGGGGAAGGGGAAGGTGCAGGAGAGTGGGAAAATGTGACGGGGCCCTATCCTCAACACCATCCCAGCACTGCAGGATCTGACCCTGGCAGGAGGAAGCTCCGTGGCAGAGCCCGAGGCACAGGGAAGGCTTTCCATCACTGCCCCTCCCAACCAGCCCCATGTTGGACTGGGGATGTGCAACCCCACTGCAAGTGGCTGCTCAGCAAACACCAGCCACAGGGCCCAGGGAGGAGGAGGGTCTCTGCACTGTGCCAGACCCCAACACACGGCATCTGGTAACGCCAGCCGCTGCCAACACCTCCCCACCAATTCCCCCTCACTTGGCAGGGAGGGGTCGGGCATGTTGGGACAGGGATGAGAAGCTCTCTGGGCAAGAAGCAGAAAAGAAGAGCGGAGGGGGAATAATGAAGCTACGGCCCTGGAAACCCACCCCTGCCCTGGGGTCCATCAGGGAGGCAGGCGTGGGGGCGCGGGGAGGCGGCGGGGGTGACGGCTGGGGGCTGCCTGCCTGGTGTGCACCCCGGGCCGTGCACCCCATCATTCACGTGGCACCGATCTGCCCCCGGTACCTCGCCGCTTCCCAGTCACTCTCCGTTGCAAATGTACAGGTAGATTGGTTGGGACTGAGTCCACGGGGCGGCGGGGGGGCCGTTACTGCGACGCCTGCGACGTGGGGTTCTCTGACTTGCTCTCCTGGCTGGAGGGCGGTTTGCTGTTCCAGGGGCTGTTGGCCCCCAGCGCCGGCGAGTTGTTGAAGCTGTCCTCGTCGTCGATGCCGTTGGCGGCGTCAAACTGCGTGTTCTCCAGCCGGGTGATGAGGCGCTCGTCCTCGTCCCCAAACTCCCCCCCCATCAGCGTGGGCTCGCCTACCACCATCACATCCTGAAAGGGGAGACGGTCCCGAAACATAATCGAGGTGGGGGGAGCCTGGGCCGCTAGACCCCCTCTCATCAGCGCAGCCCCTTTCCCCAGCTGTAGGGCCACGTCCTCATCTCCACTGCAGAACCTGAGCTGGGGCACTGAGTGGGGCAAACACATCCTCGCTCCCTTGCAGGAGAGCAAAGGGACTCAAGGAAGGCAGCTGGGACACCCCCTCCTTCTTTTCTCCATCACTGGAAGAACTGGGATGGCTCAGATAGGCAACACTGGGAGTCAGCCCCTAGCAGCTCCCAGGGGCAGGGGTAGAGAACCCTCCCCTCCACCCCAGAGCAGGAAGAGAGAATGGAAACGGGATGCTTACAGGTACCTGACTGGACAGGGCAAAGGTGCTGGCTGGGCTCTTCTTCTTGCTGTTGCTGTTGTTGGTGTTTCCCCCACCAGAGCTCATGGTGCTGCCCCCCGACATCTTCCTTTTCCGGCGCTTGCTGGGCTGCTGCCGTGCTGGCTCAGCTGGTGAAGGATGGAGACATACATGGTCAGTCCCAGCAAGAGGAAGCTGATACCCCCCAGGCCCTTTTATGCAAACCCTACTTCAAGGAACACATTCCTCTCCAGGCTGTATCACCACCCTCCTCACCTCCACAGCTCTACTGTCCTCCCAGACCAGAGGACAGGTGAGGGGGTGGCTGAGGTGAGGAACGTTTCCATTCCTGCTTTGTTTTCCACTAGCAGCTGGCAGCCCCGAGGCAGGGAGCACTGGCTGCCTGCAGCCCTGCTCTGCACCACTGGGAAGGCAGGCCAGCATAGAAAGAAGCCAAATGCCTGGTTCACCACTCCCAGCCTTATGAAACAAAGCCAAGAACAGCTCTGGGGCTGGGAGAAGCTGGCACGGAGGGCAGGGCCTGAGCAGGCAGTCCCAGAGACCCCCAGGCAGCACAGCAGGCAGTGTGAGACTCACCGGGCGGAGCAACCATCCGCTGCCACTTCTGGAAGAGGCAAGTCTTGAGGCAGTCCCGGGGACTGAGGCTGTAGGTCTTGTGCCGTGACATGAGCTCCTGCATTGGTTCTAGGATTACACAGAGCTGCAGAGAACAGACAGACTCTGGGTTAGATTGCAATGCTCTGAGCCTCAGAAAAATGGAGACCCCAAAACCCTAACCCTACAGCTCTACAGGCAGGTGTCTGTGCTGCAACAACCGAAGCCACGCCATGAGTTTGTGGGATTTGGCAGACTCACTGCTCCATAGCTCTCTACAGCCCCTCTGCAAGATCCCTTTCACACAGCCAGCCTTGCAGCCTACCCACATGCCAGGGCACCCAGGCTTCAGGAAGCTGAGAGCACAAGACATGGAAGAGCTGCAACCCCCCTCTTCTCGCACACTTACTCGGAGGTAGTTGAGTGTGGAGTTTGAGAGCCCACAGCGTGTGATGTTCTTGGATAACTGGTCCAGCATCTGGGGATCCTGTGCCTAGGAGTGAGAGGGACAGAAGGTTCAGCTGCATCCAGGCTGGGAACAGCCCTCCTGTGCCCTGGCCTGTGATGCAGGACTGGGTTGAGGTCCCCCACCTGTACAGCAGCCTGAGGAGCTCAACAGCCCTGTGCTGTTCATGCCCAGGGGAGCTCCAGGAGCTGTACTCACATGCATGGCAAGGATGCTGCGGGGAATAAGTTCTCGATGCTGGCGGATGCTGAAATGCCACGTCTTTATCCTCATCATGTCATCAAACATGAACTCCAGGTAGAGCCGCCCCTCCACACACACCTGGGTGGGCAGGGCACAGG